GGGAGCAGAATGAAGCCCCTACAATCCAAGGGGAAAGGACCAGCAACCTGCTACAGCACAGAGACACACATATGTGGCTGGATGGGATTCACCCAAGGGTACCTAGGGAGCTGGCAGAAGTGCTCACCAAACCTCTTTCCATCATTTACAAGCAGTCCCAGCTAGCTGGACAGGTCCCACTTGACAGGAAATTAGCAAATGTAACACCTCTCTACAAGAAGGGTTGGAAGGAGGATCCAGGGAACTGCAGGCCTGACCTACGTGCCAGGGAAGGTCATGGTGCAGATCACCTCGAGTACCATCATACAACGCACACAGGGAGATCGGGCTCAGCCATCATGGCTTTATGAAAGGCAGGTCCTGCTTCACCAACCTGATCTTCTATGACAGAACAACCTCCTTAATGAATGAAGGAAAGGCTGTGACATTTGTTAAGCTGGACTTTAAGAAAGCCTTTGATACAATTTCCCCAGTATTGTCCTGAAGAAAATGGCTGCTCATGGCTTCAGTGTGTGCATTCTTCTCTGGATAAAGTCTGACTGGATGGCCAGGCCCAGAGAGAATGGAGTGAATGAGTTAATGGTGAATGGAGTTAAATCCTGCTGGTGGCTGGTCACTACTGGTGTTCCCCAGGACTCAGCAGCCAGGCCAGTCCTGTTTGATATCTTTACTGATGGTTTGGATGAGGGGATCAAGGGCACCCTCAGTCAGTTTGCGGATACCACCAAGTTGGGTGAGAATATTGATCTGCTAGAGGGCAGAAAGGCTCTGCAAAGGGGTCTGGACAGGCTGGATCAAAGGACCAAGGCCAACTGCATGAGGTACAGCGAGGCCAAGTGCCAAGTCTTACATCTGGGTCTCAAAAACCCATGCAATTCTACAGGACTGTGCAAGAGTGGCTGGAAAACTGCCTGGTGCAAAAGGACCTGAAGGCTCTGGTTGACACCTGCTGAACATGAGCCAGTATGTGCCCAGGTGGCCAAGGCAGCCAAAGGCATCCTGGCATGCATCAGAAGCAGGGTGGCCAGCAGGACCAGGGCAGTGATTGTCCCGCTGTATTCAGCACTGCTGAGGACACACCTTGAATTCTGTGCTCAGATTTGGACCCCTCTCTACAAGAAAGATATTGAGGTCCTGGAGCAAGTTCCCCCAGAGAACGGGAACAAAGCTGGTGAAGGGTCTGGAGCAGAAATCTTGTAAGGACCAGCTGATAGAGCTGGGGGTGTTTAGCCTGGAGAAAACGAGGCTCAGAGAGATGTGATTGCTTTCTATAACTGCCTGAAAGGAAGGAGGCTGGTGGGAAAGTTGGCTGCAACCAGGTTGGGGTTGGTCTCTTCTCCCAGGTAACAAGACACAGCATAAGAGGAAATTACTCTGAGTTGCACCTGGGGAGGTTTAGATTGGATATTTGGAAAAAAATCTTCAATGAAATTGCTGTCAAATTGGAACAGGCTGCCCAGGGAAACATGTAGTCAGGGACATTGTTCAGTGGTGGACTCACCAGTGCTGTGTCAACAGCTGGACTTGATCTCAAAGGTCTCTTCCAGCCTCAACAATTCTATGATTCTAAGATGACCAGATTGATGTAGTGTTCATTTCTGTACAACAGTAACTTGGCCAACAGCCTGGCACTGTGATTAATATATTTGGATCAATGACATTTGGCACCTATTTAATCATTATGTGAGGCACGCTTTCCATAAGAGAAGGTTTATCTGCAGTCACAAAATAGCAGCAATGTCAGTGTGGTGGGATGAGGACATCACTGGCTTCCTACTTGTGACCTCAGGACACTGCCCCACATTTTGATTCTTCATAATGTATTCTGGCCCACATGGACTTTTTGCCAAAGTTTTTTTTTTTTTTTTTGTCAGTGCTAAATCTGTAAGTGAGTACTGAAACTGAGCACCAACAGTCACCTCTCACTGAAAATTTTTGTATGTGCTGCAGTTACCATGGCACCAACCTGAGCAGTTGATGTCTAAATATAGGGCAAGATAAAGAATATATCTTTTCAAATACTAATAGAATGAAGCAAAAATTGTCAGAGAATTTAGTGCTTCTATAAAGTGGAGTACTTAAAATACTGGCCAATTTCATAGGCCCTAGATTAAAATACTTAAATATCAGTCATAACATATTCAGTGTACTTTACTGTTTTTGATGGAATTTATCTGAAAAAAATCCACATTCTCAGACAGGAAGATTTTGGATAACTCACAGCCATATGACAGAGCATACAGCAAGTCTATCAAAGGCCATATAAAGAAGCATCAAGAATTATATTTGCTGAAGAAATATTGTGTGTCAGAAGCAACATGGAGGTACTGTAAGGATTTTACAACTGGGCCCTGGTTTTCACAGAATGTCTGCACTGAGTGTACTTGAGAATATAGAAAATGCTCAAGAAAATGCTCATAAGCAGGTAACACCTATCAGGCTTAAACTGACTCACAAAGCATGAAAAAATACTATTAGGATTTCATGAAAGCATGAAGATGTGTGCTGAGATTGTGTTGCTTTTAGGAGAACATCAAACAAGGCATCAGGGTAATAACAATTTGAAAGACTATGGTTCTTGCAGGACAAGTCCTCATGCTCATTTGTATGAGAGATCACCAGAAGCTCAGCTCTCACTGGTGACAGCGCTGCCTTCTCAGGGGTGGGCTACAGGGCCTTACTGGTGAATTAATAATATCATGCACATTACTTTACCTACAAGTTCTCTGATGGTCTCACAGGTGCAAGGACTTTGGAAAGGTACAAAGAAACCTTTCAGATATAAGATGCTAATTCACTCTTTTACTAACATGCAACTTAGCTTATGAAAATAAAAATGTGTTAAATGAGAGAAGAATATCTCCAATCCACTGCAAACTTTGCTGAATATTTAAATATTTCTATGTAATTCTGCATAGCTAAACTGTTGCTTGTAACAGCCCTGACATTCTGTGAGACTAACACCATATTTTGATGTGTTTTCGAACAGAAACACTGTTCCAGTTCACTAGCTGTTACAGTATAGTCAGGGGAAAAATTATTGCAAGGAATAGCACATTTTAAAATGTCAGAACAACTGTTAAGATTCCAAATGCAAATTCTGCCTGTTATACTCAAAATCCCCTAAACCACCAAGTGCAGAATCTCTGACTGCAGGGGTGCTTGGCACAATATGTGATTGGGCTAGTATAGAAAGAGACATTCTACACTTGAGAGTCCTTTTGGAGATTACTTTTAAAAGGAAGAAAACATTGGGAAATTTCCAAAACATATAATGAAAAAATACTTCTGCATAGGCAGGAGCCTTTCTTGCAGAATAATTTTATACTTTTCAATTAACCAAATACCTTTATTTTCACTAAACATTGAGTGAATCAAGACTTTTATGTGTTTCTCTATTACTTATTGACAAGCATTTCTTTTTAGAGCCTTAAAATCCTCCTGTGCTGATTTCTACATTTAGAAATATAATGATACTCTGTTATATTCACACACTGCTCCTGTAAAATATCAAATAAATAATGAAGAGATGGCTACATGCCAGATCTGCATCTTACTCTGTAGGAGAGAAAAATTCTGAGCTAAACTGAAGTAGATGCTAATATTATAAAAGTACCCTTCAGGTTATAAATCTTTGTGGTTCACTTCTGCTTACTTAGTCAACATTTCTAGATGTGCATCCCTGGTCCCTCTTCATTAAAAACCAGCAGTCTAAAAATCAGATTATTAATTTGTGGGACTATGATTTAAGGAGGAATCTAGTAAAACTTATATTTAACTAACTTTACGTCATGAGGACAAAAGGACTGCAGCTCTAAAATTCAGCTAAATCAGCTTATCAGTAAACCATAACATGAATTTCAGCATTTGTCTTCAGGGAAGACAAATATGGCTTTACCAAAACTGAGTAGCCTTATCCATAGTATTTAATCCCTTAAAAATAAAGATTTAAACTCTCCAACTTTTCTTATGTATAAGTATTTCAAGTAGCTGAAATCCAGAAATATAATACTCACTTTCAATTCCCACTGAATTGATGAGGGTAGGGGTAGTTAGGAGCTGAGCTCCTTCTAATCACACATACCATGTCTCTGCTTTGGCTATCAGTCTAGGCTGATTTGGAAGCTGACATCCTTGGAGAAGCTCTCATTTTCTTGGCAGCCAACACCGACAGAAAAAAATAACTTACTAGTTGCAAGACACTGGTGGATTTTTTTCTAAACTTCAACTATTCAAACATAAATTTTCTGGAGCAGATATTTGGTTTTTGAGTCTTTTAAAAATTGTTTCAATCCTCAAATTTGTTTTCAAAAAAGAGCCAGAGTAAATACAAGCAATTCTTTTATTCCATGTTCAAAATACCTTGTGATCTTTTCAGCTGAAAATTTCACTCCCTCTTTCCAGACCTTCCAATGGGCACAAGATTTTGTGTCAAAGACATGCATTTTTCTGTAAATCTACCCATGTCTATGCAGCGCATTCAGTACCTAAATTCCCTCCAATTTCTGATTATACTGACAATGCATCAAGGAAATGCATCTCTGGGAGCAGTATTGAACCTTGACTGGTCTATGTCTATGAGCTACAAGACTCATTCCCTCACAGTGAATGAAAGACTCTCCTGGTACACCAAAGAAAACTATGGAGGGTAGTGTTGACAGCCTGGAGAGAGACCAGGAGTCAGACTGATGGGCAGGCAGTAGAAATCGGGAAAAGGTGGCATAGTTGAAGAGTGGCATGGGCAGAAAAGAGGTATTAAAATTTGAATGTAAAATTGTATATAAAAGCATTGATATAGTCACTTTATAAGCTGTCATTGTTGCTAGCATTAGCTGCATAAGGATTGGTATTTCCCTCATAAGACTGAGATATTGATAGACACACGCTTAATCACAGAGTGTTGTGAACTGGACTTTGTAGACTTCCTTATTCCCACCAAATCCACAGTAACTGGACAGGTTCTAAAAGTGAAAAATACCTTGCAGAACTTATAAGTATACCTTTCCTTTAGTGAAAGCTTCATCTCCTTTTCTAATTAACTTTCTTCTGCCAGTATCTCCCAAGGAACCTTGCAGCATGACATGCACATCTGCATCTGTTCCTGACCCAGGGATAGCTCCCGTGGTGATGTAGAGAACATAGATTTTCACTGTGGGGAAAAAGAGAGCAAAGGTTTACCAAACCTAAACCAGTTGAAACATATGTTATTTAATACATTATTTCTATTACATTTTCAATTTTCATCCTGTCTGGAGTGATTAGAAGACCAAATATAGTGTAATGCTTGGAAAAGCACATAGATGCATTGTAATTAGAATTTAGGAGCAACTATTATAAAGAATAATAAGCTAAATAATTTGAGTGGGCCTGAAACACAGGAAGAAGAAAAAAAATTTTAAAATAAACACATAACAAGTTGGTATAAAAGCATGTAAATAATACTCTTATCACCTCTTACATGCATTTAAATACATGACACTCCAATGAAAAAATTTCTAGGCTATGGATGATACTAAATCACTCAACAAGTACATCTATGCTTAGAGCCTCATGGAGTTCAAAGAAAGCTTTTTTCCTCTGTCAGGAGGAAAGCAACTTTTGTATTTCTTCTGGATCATGGTCCAGTCAGTGGCTGTTCACTCTGCACTGTACCAGTTGGAGTTACTGGCCTCAGAAGAGGTGATTACATGTGAGAGAACACACAGTGTGAACACACAACCCTTCAGCTGAACACTCCTTGAAAAGCTGCTTATGTAAAATTCTTCTTTGTACTCCCAGAGAAATGCATAACACAATGGTGATATGGCCCCTAAAATAAAAAAGAGATCACATCCCCAAAATATTCAATTGAAAAGCAGAAAAAAATGTGGGGAGAGGTAAAGAAAAAGTACCTGTCCTCATGTTAAATGCTCCTCAAAAAAAGGAGCAGCATTTTAAAATATTTAAATATCCGTGTTTTTCCATAAAGAAATAAATCTAAGAAGTATTTAAAAGCAAAGAACTTTACCAGTGAATTTCCCATCAATACTTTCTCAAATTCATATTCAAGAAGCTTCTGCCTAAGTGCTTTGTAACTTTGAAAACCAGCTTTGAAAGCACAGCAAAAGAGGCAAGAATATACAGATTACTTCTGTGCTTGATCTAAACCCTTAACTTCTGGAGTAGCCTAAGATATTATCATGGTAGAATATTCATTTAGGATAAGAGTTCTTCCATTCTTCTCTAACTGTGGTTATAGAACCTTGTAAAAAACACAGAACAATCTAAACATATCCAGTCTTGAGGGGACCAAGGCACAACTCTGATGGAGTTGGATGACATGCAACTGCTGGGTCACAGAAAGAATGTCTGCAATTCTACAGAAACAGCAAGAGAGCTGTTTGGGCTGGCAGGGGCATGGATCTCCTTCTTGCTTGAAATTACAGTACAAGAGTTATCTCCTCTGTATTTCCCTTGCTTAGTCTGTGAAGGAACCCAATTATATCACTGAGTAAAAGCTAAACTCAGAACTGTTCAAAACCTTTTTAATAGTTTCAGCGCCATATGCTTGCTCTTTTATGTGTCACAAACTGATGCCAATCAGACTTGAGTGCACAATGCTCAGTTTTAGGATCTAAGATACTGGCTTTAAACATTGGACTGGACTGGACCTAGCCATGCATCATCAGGAAGAAATTAACAGAAAATATCTGCAAAAACCGTTTGCAGGTACTGCTCTGAAAATTGGACATCATCACTGACCAAATCTCTCCACATGTTTCCAATTTATGACAAACCTGCTGGAAAAGGAGACCCAGCTGTAAGAACTGGAAGTTCAGTCACTCTTCCTCCTTCTTCATCGGCAAAGTTATGACAAAAAGGGAATTCTAGAACATTTTTAGTTTCTCTGTGTTGAAGCTTTACCTTAGCAAAGAAATAAAAAGAAATAACTTTAGCATCTGTTGTGCCCTAATGCAAACTATAGCTAAAAACAAACTATTAAACAGCTATGACACATCCTTTCAAAATTTTAAACTAAGATGAAATAATTTTTCTAAAATGTTTTTGAAAGCAGCCTTTTAAATGAGAAGGAATAAATATCTTTCCCAATTAAAGGTAATTAAAATGTTGTCAACATTTTTGCTGCAGAGACTGCAGTGAAGGAAAAAAAAATTGAAATTGTTCAAAAAGTTTCCTTTATGTAACCTATTCATCCAGCATATGGAAGAAAAAGAAGTGTTGATATGGGCACATTTCAACTTGTGAGAAATGTCAATATGCCACAATATTTTTCAGTGCAGAATGTTTTCTTATTCTAAGTAACAGGAGAAAGAAAAAGGAATGTTTCTGGGAAAAACTGAAATATAGAAATTAAAAACACTTTTGACATATATATATATATCAATACATATGTATCACTTGAATATATAGAGTTTGATACTAATTTCAATCTCTATGAAATTCTGTGTATAAACTAAGAAAATGGTGATCCTACTAAGAAGCTTCTTCTTTCTATAAGAAAATATGTTTTAATAATGAGATCTTACACTATGGTACTACCAGCTACACTGAGATAAATTCCCATTTTCTAAACTATTTAAACCTAGAACAGACAACATATTTAAAAATACCTTGTAGGAAGTAACCCTGCTTTAAGACGTGCCCATATAATTCACTCATTTCAATTCTTCATGACCTAACTCACTAAAATGTCCAAACCTTTAAGCTAGTAAGCAAAACCAACTTTGGTTAGGAATTGTCACTGGGAGATGGGAGCATTATTTTGTCTTCAAAAGACTCAGTATTTTTCATTATGACAGACACACTGAAAAGAGTTTTTTAAATGCACTGTGAAGTATAATGCTAGTACAATTTTCTGTTCATAATAATATCTACATTCCTGAACAGTTTATTGAAACTCAGATTTTATTTACTGTGTTTTATTTCTTCAAGAAATGAAAGAAGCAAGAATGAAGATATTAGCTATTACATGCTGCAGAAATAAGGCATACCTTAATTAATCTTTTTCTAGGCATTATTTTCTAATTTCCTCAAAAAATCAGGATTATTATTTTGAGTTATGGCTATAACAATGAAGTCTGAATCTAAATATGGAATTCAACCAACTACCCCTGCATTTACTTTTGATAGAATGCAGAAATCACAGACTTTCTGGAGGTGCAATCTTGTAAAATCAAAACGAAATAGCATAGAAATGACCATGGCAATTCTAACCAGCAGTGTAAATACACTGCTAAGCTGTCTTTAATAACAGATATTATCTACAACCACTTATACCAACCTAGTTATTTTATACAAGGATTCAGACAGTCCTGCTATAAAAACTATGGAATAAAAGGAAATGTCTCCCTAAAACCCACATAATTGACATGTATCCCAAAGCAGGGAAATTTATAATTTCTTTCTCTACCTCTTCCTACCTAAGGTAAGTGTGCATCTTTTCCTTTATTTATGTAAATGATGCTGATTTCTCTTAAACTGAGCTTTGAGTGATTGTTCTGAGCTAATGAAGTAAAGCAGACTAATAGATGTCACTGTTTTCAGCTGCCAGTTTCTGTTCTGAAATTTTTCCTGTGATTTACTGTCTTCTACAATAGTCCAGAAGCAGTCTTAATTTTGATAGATTTGTTGCATGACTTTTTCATCTGGCTATGAAGATGAAATTAACAACCTGCCTACCATTTAAATGTCAGGGAGTTCAACTCAGTAATACCATGTATTGGAAAGGAAAATTATTTTTTCTCCAGTTTTTAATAAGAATAAAATAGAAACATTAATGGACAAAAGCATGTCTGCAATTTTAAAGAAGATTAATCTTTCCTTTATAATTGTTTTTATTTTTCCAGCATAAGAAGATAAAGACATTTTTTGTATAGTGAAATGCCACAGCAATTTCAGTGTGATGTCAGGTTTTAGCTGGATATCAGAAGAAAGATTGTCACTTTTGCTATTCACTTCTTTTTTTCACATGCCAACATAAAAGGCAGATAGTTTCATCAAAATGCATTTCTAGTGTCTGCCTTAATTATTCGCCATGGATCGCTGACTTTACAACATGTAACAGCCAATTTGAACTTATGTAAATACTGCAATGCATGCCAGTGAGTACAGTTCTGAAAAGCCATCACTTGATATGCTAGAGATGATGGCAGATCTGTATATATGGCTCTCCAGAAATCAATCCAAGTTCATAAGATTTTTGTTATCCATAGCTATCCTAGTGTTTTGAACAGTCTCTGAAGTTAGCACTCTACAATTGTTGCAGCTTCTGTAAATTAAAAATTTAGCAATCCCAGACAGGACTGAAAACTGGAAGAAATAATATAATATGGAAAGCAAAAAAATATATATATATAATTGAGACAAAACAAATAATTACTCTAGGTTTTAATTTTTACCTCACAGCAATGCCAAGTCTCTCCTTCTCCAGCTTCTTCAATTTCAAGGCGAACTTTGAATATAGTATTAAATTTCTTACTCAGTTCAATAGAAGTCTCATAAATCTGCTCTTTTTTAAGGGATCCTTTGGGGAATATGACTGAAGTACAAGTTCCTTTTTCACCACATACTGTTAGAGACATTCTAGGGTTCATGGAACTAGAAGAAATATCACTAGTTGTGACGTGGATATCCCAAGTCCCTGTTGAAATAAAACAGCAGAAAAAAAAATTAATGGGTTTGCTGAATATCCAAAATAATACAGCAATTTGTAGCAGGCTGAGGTAGCGAGGGAGTAGCAACCCATTCCTACCTTTGTACTGAGCTCAAGTACTGGCACATAACACGTTCACTCACTATTATCAATTTAGTGAAAAGCAAATTTGGACATCAGTGCTTTCATAGAGGTAGCTGATACTTTAGAGATGTGCCAGTCCAAGAACAAAGTGCAGATAAGACTGCCCAGTTCAACATCAGAGACTTGTGAAGAGCCATGACAATCTGTTAATTTCTTCCCCTGCCCCTTATAAATATCTCCTGATGATTTCAAATATTTTTTCGCACTAGTCACCATTCAAAAGCAGCGTATTTTTTACAAGATAATATCTGTTATCAGGTTTGCCTTTGGTCAGAGAATATTTTCATTTTAACCTTTTGGGGATTTACTTAAATGAACATGTTAAAATATGCTGCATACATACTATAGGAATATGGTGGTGAGATGAACTGGTTCAGCTCTTGAAAAGGAATATTATTATCAAACCTCACCGTAATTATCATGACAGCAAAGTACAAAACTAACTTTATCCATTTCTTCCGTGAAGAAGTAATGTTTGCTGAGAGATTAAAAATAGTCCTATATAGCATCACATAGATTTGTCTACTTTTGGGACTCAGGAAACACTCCAGGAGAATTTTTCCTAGGTCTTTTTGAAGCATTTAGTCACTTAAGCACTGGAGATGAACTGACAGATCCCTGAAGTCTCAGAATGTCAGGTAGACTCCTAAGTAACTTCTGCAACTTTGTATGGAACAGATATTTGGTTAAAACTTCAATCAACAAGACAGTTTTGAAGATCAGAAACTCCATCAAAAAAATGTCACTGATTTAACTAGCTTTAATATTTTAATTCATGTTAATAGAATGTATGGAAAATTCAGGGCTACCAAAGTCATGGTTCCAATTTTAAAAAATTGTGAAAATCAGAATTTTTGTTCACCTGGGCTGCTGCAGAATTGAGCAGAATTTTTTTAATAACATGACTTAGCTCAGTATGGATCTGATAATATCAATTAGCTATTTTGTAAAACAGGTTGTTTTACTCTGAGTAATGGAATCAAAGACTCCTGGAGTTTATGTTCATAAACTCCAGCTTCCTACCTCAGCTTCAGAATGTTCAGTCACCTCAGCTTCCTAACTACAACAGGAAAGTATTTGTCTCCTACTATAACTAATGCAAATAAAGGTTTATTGTTTTAGGTCAGGTGAGGATCTGTACCATAAATCCAGCACTTGTTGACATAAAAATTTAGTACTCACCATCTGTAAAATCATCTAAAATAACTTCAGTGTTACGACTTCATGAAAAATCCTAAATCTATTTTCATGCCTATGAACATTAAATGTAAATTAAACCAATGATATCTGTGAAAAAATGGAAGTCAAATGAAAATTTATCACATCCCATGTGAGATAATCTAGGATATTTTACCCTTTTAGTACTGAAATACTTGGCCTTAAACTATCAATATATAGCTGCCCAGGAATGGAAGGACTATGTCTGCTGGATAGTACAGCACCATATGCTGCTATAACACATGAATTAAATTGTATCATTTCTGATAAATTTGTTAAAATTCAATTTAAAAGCAGCTTCCTTCCTTCTCCTTAGTTAAGTATAAAACAGTGTATTGGGTTTGCGTGGCCATGTTTTGGTAGCAGGGGGCTTCAGTGATGGCTTCTGTGAGAAGCCATTAGAAGACCCTCCCTGTGCAGCAGAGCCAATGCCTGCTTGCTCCAAGACAGACCCACCCCTGGCCAAGGCTGAGCCATCAGTGATGGTGAGAGCACCTCGGGATAAGGTATTTAAGAAAGTGAGGTGGAAGAACTTGCACAATTGTAGCTGGAGAAGAGTGAGAAAATGCAAGAGAAACAATTCTGCAGTTCCTCAGGTCAGTGCAGATGGAGGGTGAGCAGAGATTCCCCTGCAGCCCATGGTGAAAACCATAATGAGGCAGCTGTGTCCCTATGGCCCATGGAGGTCCACAGTGGAGGAGAGATTCACCCACAGCCCATGGGGGATCCCATGATGTCCAAAGAGGATGTGACCTCATGGGAGCCTGCAGTGGAGCAGACTCCCAGCAGCACCTTATGGCCTCATGGAGAGAGCCTGTGCTGGAGCAGGTTTACTCCTGAAGGACTACACCCTATGGAAGGAGCCCATGCTGGAGCAGCTCTGGAAGAACTGCAGCCCGTTGGAAGGCCTCACTTTGGAAGTTTGGGGAGGACTATCTCTTGTCACTCCATGCTGGAGTGGAAGAGGAAGGAGTAATAGAGACAATGTGATAAATTTACTGCAAGCTTAATTTCCTGTCCTGCTACACAACTGGATGGGGGGAGGTAGAGAAAATTGGGAGTAAACTTTAGCCCAAGAAGAAAGATGAAAGGTATTTTTAGATTTGGGTTTAGTTCTCATTATCCTACTCTAATTAAGCTAATTTCCCCTAGTCAAGTTTGCTTGGTCCACAGCAGTAATGGCTGAGTGATCTGTCCATGTCCTTATCTTGACTCACGAGCCTTTTGATATGTTTTTTTCTCTCCTATCCAGCTGAGGAGGGGAAGGATGAACAACCTTGATGGGCACCTGGATCCAGCCAGGGTCAACCCAACACAGAGTGCAATGCTAAAAATCTAATATTTCTTTGTTTCTTTCTCAGAAATCTTTTCATTCTCTTGGGAGGGCATTAGCGGACTGCTGAAAATCATTTATTTTTATGACAACTTTGTTAGCTTAAATAACTCTCTTCTCTCCTTGATATGTAAGCCACCATTAATTTGATAGATCACTACTTCGTCCATTTTAAGCATTTCATTAGCTATTCTGAATCTGTCACTTTTTTCCAATACTCTTTTACAACAAAGAGTTGCCATTTTCTCAGTCATCATATCTTCTTTACAACTATTCCAATTTGATCTAGTCCTTCTGGACAGGTGGCCACAATTACATGCAGCATTGCTGGCGAAATATCATAGTTTCTCTGTAAAGCCAGTGATCCAATTTGATTTTCCCTGATAAGGCCTACATACAATGTGGGGTCACAGTAACCCCAGAGCCATGTCACATTACTGCCTCAAAGTTATCCTGGGATCTTATAACAAGCCCAGGTATTTTTCATGGTCCTCTTGCTGATGAATTTGTGTAGCAGAAATCATTACAAAACATGGCAATACAGATCAAAACTGATTTTTGGACCCTTAGCTACTACTTAGTTCCGAATTCTTAAAAAACCCCAAAACAATTGAAATTAGGACCATGTATCAGAATTGAGAGCTCAAATAGCTAGCTGAGTTTACACCTAATTGTATACAAGCTGCTTGCCACAGAATTCTGTTCAATTCCTGTCCTTCAGTTCTCAACCTTTGTATGTCCTGATAGCACTCCCAGCTTTGTAGCAACAAAAGATCTCATTAACATATACATTGTCTCTTCTCCAGCTCTTTACAATTCTTCCTTTTACTACTACTTTTCACTTTCTTGTGATTACCTAAGAATTTGCCATAAAAAATAAAATTCAATACAGGAATTTGGACAGATTCAATGTCATTACATTTGTCTTACTGCAAAATGTTTCTGTCTTATCTTCTTGGTTTACAGTCTATCTTTACTAAAGCCATGGTGCATTCCTTCTCATTTCCTATTTGCCTCTATTGTCTCAACTATTAATTTCTTCAAAAGTGTGTTATAATGATTTTCATTTTAACAATTACTAGGTATATAGTCACCTATGTTCTGCTTTCTATTCTTTAGATGGAGGCATTATGTTTGCTGATGTTAAGTCTTCATAAAATTGTTTTAAATCCTTGCTATTAGATCTGCCACTGGACTAACAACTACCCTGATTGTCCCTGCTTGATAAATGGAAGTAAAAGTTCAATTTATGTTTCAAATTTTCTAATTCCCAGTAAGCTCATCCCATTAGTAACTGTGCTTTTTGCTTCCCTGGCCAACATTATGGTTCCTTAATGAGAAGAGAGACAAGGTATTACATTTGTTTAAGAGTTATACCTACATGATCTTCAGTCTGCAATCTATTGTTCCAAGTTACTCACCTTTGAAGGTTCTTTTAATCAGTAAAGGGTTGAAGAACCATTATTGTTTGTTTTACTTACTTTACAAAATCTGATTTAGCTTGAAATTTAGTAAGTTCCATGGTATCCATCTGACCCCTAGGGTATATTGCTCTTTGCTGATTTGTCTTTTATTTATCCATTCTTCCTAGGTTCTCTGCTTACTTGTCATATTATTTCTGGATTTATTATGTACCCAGACCAAAAATGATTTTCAATAGATACAGCACTGAGTATTAATAACCATAGACATGAAATTATTGTCATATCTGTACTCAGATTTTTGAGGACTATGTCTGTGTGTGGGAAACCAAGGAAGGAAATTGTTTTTACACAGCCATATTCAGACATTAATCAAGGTACATAAACAAGGATGCAAGATTTCTCTCACTTTTCATATTATCAGTGAAGAAAGATGTGATGGATTTTGACCAATCTTGTGCTTCTTTGAATTACCCTCAGGGGACATCTGCCTTGCTCTATGGACTATGTAGGACACCTATGGAATCTACTTTATTAATAGAGACCTAGAATACTTGCAGTGGTGAAATACAGCTATTTCTTGTTCTGAAATTGTCACTACTCTAGCTGCTCATACTATGCTTATATTTCCACGATTTTCTGTTATTCTGTAATATCAGTAACATTATTTCTGTTTTCCTAGATGATATGAGATATTCACGTGTGGACTAACTATAGATGACTAAATATGAGGACATAATCTATTATCCTAACTATGTATAGTATAAAATTCTCTGAACATAAAAGGAAATATGCAGGATCATGGAAGTTAATAGAGATTGGTTTACAAAATGGCTGATACAGAATGCCAATGCACACCTCCAGATTAGTTAAACTTTACATAGCTTGGTCTATCAGTTCTGATTCAGTTTTCATAAATGGACCCAAACCAGCATTTTACACCTCTTCAAGCAAGACACATGAGAGAGCTAAAAAATACAGTATCCTGGCAAAGCATGTTTTCAGTGTCTAAGTTGTTTCTGAATTTTGCTTGATTGTTAATTAAACAGTTTGAATAGAATATTGACTTCAGGTCAACTAACTGTTTGCAAGAACTTGTGCCATTGATATAAGTAAAAAAGAAAACTGCAAATAAAAGCAAATGCTTTCTGCAAATATATGAACATAAGGAAAAATCGCATTCTGCTAAAAGAGTTTTTGTATCTCTTGTGATTCCGTCGCTGTTGCAGGAGCCTTCTGCTCTGCATTGAATGCCATATGGAACAACCTACTTCTTTCTGCTTCAGCTTTTTTCTAACCTCAACTAAAATCATAGTACCTTCATTGCCTCTGTCACTTAATATCTCCCTTATGCTCTAGTTTTTCTTCCCTGAGCATTTTAATTGTATTTACCATCTCAGGAAAGTGTTTGTAGAGACAATTGGTGTGAGAGAGGCAATTCACATTCAAGCTATACTGTTTCTGTAGTTTGGTTTCAACCTTAAAAATAATAAAAAAAATATTATGGATTACAATAAAAACCAAAGCTGGAAGGAGTTTTGAGGATTTTGGACCTTACCATAAATCTTTCCTGTCAATACTCCATTCCTGATTTTTCCGAGAAGCTTCAATGTTCGTTCCATCTGTGCATCGCCAACTCCACTGTCTAACCATTGCTGGCAAAGAAATACATATTGTTCTTCAGTCTTGCCTGATTCATGGATGACAACTTGGTCAAGGTACCATCCAGCTCCATAACCCACATTATGGTGCTCAACAAGCACTTTGCTTAACTGTCCAAGGTTTACTGCTCTAATTTCAGAGATACAAACCTGAGAAGATAGAGGCAAAAAGAATGGCAAGCTGATTAGACCATATATCTTATCTTCTGTCTTTGAGAAGTTTGCATTTAGAAAGACAAATTCCTTTCAACGATGAAGTATCTTTCTCTGAGAATAAGGAAAGGTGTTATAGGTTGACATTCATATTTGGACAACCTGTTCAGAAACTATGTGGATCCTTGAATATATACATCTTTTCTTCAATATGATCACTGCAGTTCAGGTTTTCTTACAAAAAACATCCCCTTGTTTTAGGTAGAAACAAACCTCTGATCAAAAAACCTAGAGAAAGATCATGAAAATTGAAGTTCAAGTAATCCCTCATAAAGGAAACAAAGGGAGTTCTTCAAGTTACCAGGATAAACCTGGTAACTTAAATTTCTGTTTAGATAAGGCATTTTATTTTAAAACATTTTCAAGTATTTTACATTCTAAGACACCCTATTATTCAAATAGGAAATGTTGTATTATTCAACTCTGAACAGAAATACTGTGGATGACTATGCAAACAAAGGAAGATACTGACATTAGAAACTATAACTAAGGCTGTACACGCATGCAGGCAAGAATTGATGTGCTCCTCGGATGTAAATAGACATCTGTTTAAATATTGCTACGGCTACCAGTAAACAAAAGCTAAATGGCAGCTGCACTAGTGCATGTTGGGATGAATAAATTATGTGACTGAGAGAATGAATGTGTTCTGTGCAAGATAATATAAGTGGGTGGGTAGATACATGGCCATGTGTGTGGGTGACATTAAAAAAACCCCAGATGGATAGTAGAAACAGACGCTATAATTTTTATTTGTTGCCAACCAATTTGCCACCAGGCAGGAAAAAGGATGAGGACCAGAAAGCAATGAAGGAAGAGATGATTTTTAGAACGAATTATGTCATCTCATCCATTCTCCTGTCTGTATCAGACTATTCTCCACAATGTGATCAGAAAAAGAAAACATTCAAGTTATTATTCCTATCACTGCCTTAGGACTTCCAGCATTAATACCTTGTTATATCCACGATATCCTCAAACAGTTACCATGGCAAGATATACCCCTGCATGTAAGTATATGTAGCCCAAAATAAGATCTAGCTGGGAGGAACATCTTGCAAATAACTTTTTGGGAGTACTCATTGCTTTTTAATTTTATTCTTTGTAGTTCCAAGCCAAATATAATTTTCCTGTCAGTCTACATGACCTTTGACTTAGAGGAAATATTCTGTATTGCTAACACTCATGTTCCTTCACAGCTAACTCTAATCGAGAAAGGGACCTATCATTAGTTTCATTCTTTGTGATAATAATTAACATTCATTAGACAACAGTGGTCATAATCACCCATTGTTATCAATGAATTCTCATAATAATACATTAAATTGCCTACTCCCTCAGCATTAGTAAGAATGTACATTTGGTTGATGGTATTACATTCCTTTTTTTCCCTTCAGTATAAAGATATTTGGATTTGTATTAAACACACTACTGGAAGTACAATTAATGAAAGCCAAAAGGATTTTGTTTAAACTGTTTTGCAAACCCACTTTAATCTGTTTTCTTACACTTGGTTGAAATTTTCTGTCTTCCTAGATTTTCCTTATATTCATGTTCTTTATCAATCAACAGAGATATTTTTTTTTTTTTTATCTCAAGTTTCCTTAACTTTGTTTTCTTTGCCTGTACATTCCACATTTTTCAGGGATATTGCTGACATAATCTTGTCTCTCAAGACAGCTTGCCCTTTACATTCCTTCCTTTCACCTTCTAGTCTTCGAATCTCTCACTAAACTAAAAAATTCCAACTTTTTTATTGATGTACTTCTATGTAAAAGGAATGTAAGACTGGTAGTAGTATTTTAAATTGCAAATCCATCTAGTCCATCTACTATAGTGTTGCCAACAGCTACCACTAACAGATTTCTATGGAAGAGCTGAAAAACAGGGCAAATATATAGAGATGCTTCTTGAATATAAAGTCTCTCAGCCTTTTTCAATTTGTGGTTCAGAGATTGCTTGAGCCAGAGATTACGTCTTTGCATTTGACAGTCTCAGTGGAAAATTGTCTTCCATGACAATGTGCAATGGCTTTTTGCACCAATATGTCTTTACCATCTGCAACATCTTGTGTCAGAAAGTAAAATGTATTAATTACACATTGAGCAAAAAGTCACCTCCTTTTGTTTTGAATCTGCCACCTGCACATTGCATTGAATGCTCTTGAGCTCTTTTATTTCACAAAGAAATAGAAACGTTTATTTTCTGTATGCCATTTTATATTTTTTTATCTCCACCACCTTTCCTCTTATCATCATCTCTTTTCCAGACTAAACCATATGTGTTTGCTTCACTGTTCTTTGTATGGAAGATATTTCATACCACTTGACATTCTTCTTGCACTTTTTAAGACAAGTGAATCGACAAAACACAATGTCTATTATGCATCTGTACTAGTGAACATATTTGGAGGCATGACTGTGTTTTATGCCTTGAAGTGGCTGGAGTTTTTGGGTTTGTTTTTGGTTTTTTAATAATTTCTAATAATTTTTTTTGTTGTATTTTCCTTTTGTTTTACTTCTACTGAGATGATATCCTACTACTTTCATATTTCAGAGCCCATCATTTTGCACGCATATTTAAGGGGTTATTTCTCCTCACAGCCACTGCTTTTCATTTAGCTACAGAGAATTTAATCTGCTATTTTATTACCCATTCACTGTGTATGAGGTTCTTCTGCAGACTCTGCCACCAGTTTTAATATTTATTACCTTAAATAGCTCATTATGGTCAGAGCATTTTGCCATCCCACTGCTCAACTCTTTCCCAGGAACCTATCGAACAATGAAGAATGTGAACACACAAAATACCTAAGCTGAAGAACACTTTCATTGTCTGCAGCACAAAAACTGCACCCTGAAAACAAAGGATCTGTTTGGGAAGACAGCACTCTGCAGCTCAGTGTAGTGGCTGTGAATTCTTTATCACTAACAGCTGTATCACTGACTCTGTATTAACAACCAGTATGAAATGCCATATGAATTATTTCTTTTTATACTTCTTTTCCAGATTATGTCACTGACAATGTGCCTTTACATTTTTGATTAATCTTCTAGTTGTCCATAAACATTTGCCCTCAAAAATACCAAATATTAACCTGTATTTTAATAATATTATCCAGACAATTGACAACATAAAGTTCTTCCTATATTGTTATAGTACAGTTTGGACTAAGACAGCAGGATTCTGAAAAAAAATGGCATCTGAAAAAAAAAAGAAGTATTATCGAAGAGTCAGAACAACGTATAGAAAAGACTAAGTAGGAAGATTAAAGATACATTCTTCTTTGCAGAGAACAATGCAGCAATACAAGTGCACAGAGGGTAGAGGTCTAAAAAGCAAGAGAGAAGCAAAGAGAAGATGACATGGAAGAAAAAATTCACCATGTCTTCCAAAGGAAGATGTGGAATGAGATTTAAATAGTATGTGAAAGTTTAGTTTTACTCAGGTAGCAGATCAAGTGCAATTAAATTGACATGACAATGTGGACACTTATCATGTCTATAGAAGAATTTATACAAATTAATGGAAGAAAAAGTATCAATTACTAGAGTATGACTGGAACAAAATGATGTGGCTGGTTTCTAAGTTTCTAAGCTCAAGAAGACATAATAAATCTAGTGAAGGAAGAGTTAAGTGCAAGGCTAGGAAAGCAGTGGAACAGGTTGCCTAGGAAAGTTATGGCATCTCAGGCATAAGAGAACATAAGAAACAGTATGAAAACATGCAGAGGATTCTGCTTCATTGTACAGGATGAATTGATCTAGTGCTCTCAGTTCAGTGTATGGGTGAACATGCTGTGCAGATATAATCATTAATATGGTAATAAGCAAAGGTTAACCAGAAAATCTCTCATAGGATTTATCTTGAGCAGTTATGTTTACAACCAGGTTTACCTGTTTGCAATTTAACAGATTAATTAACATATAGTAGCTAATACATTTAAATCTTTCATCTGGGCGATTAAAAAAAAATTAAAGGAGCAGTCGCAGAAAATAGACCTGATATTTCTATACTAGCTTCACAAATAGGTGAAAATTAGGCCATAGAATTTCATATATAATTGGATTGAGTTCCAGATTCTAAGAACATTTACTGAGAGTTTGTGGATTTTAAATTTATTTGTACTCAAACTATTCTTAAACTGGAATCTCAATTCAGGTAAAATGCTTATACTTAGCAAGTAACACATTCTTTCCACAGGTTACCAGAGTGTTAACATCCATGCTGGTATTTCATAATTTGAAAGAAATATGGTATTAGAAAATAATAAAATTAAATAAATCAAAAAACATGTAAGGAAAATGACTCAGTACTAACCTGCCCTCTTTCAAAATGTGAGTGCCCTAGTCTCCTTTTGCAGGAATCTCCCCTCTCTCCAAATACTGTGATAAATACATTTGCATCTGTTCCTGATGCAGGCAGTGTTCCTGTATGGACATTGATGATGTAAAGGACTTCTGCCATGAAAAATCAGTAACACAAAACATTACCAAATGAGATAATTAGCAATGTAATTATCAAATATTATAAACCAATATATTTTAGGCATAAGATTAATTTCAAGACCAAGGAATTAAGTTATAGGAATTGACATAAATTTTCTGAGTTTCATATAGATTGCTAGCTATCTCACAGCGCACACTACAGCATTAGGGATGAAATGTCTTTTATGAATCGATGCAAGAATCCATGCTTGCATTACAGAAGGAGAAAATATCCTACTTCAGGGTTCTGGAATCACCTGAAAGACTCAGACTGATTTTATCATGCTTTTTAAAAAAAAAAAAAAAGAAAAAGAAAAACAAAAACTGTAACAAAAAAACAAAAGCAAAACAAAAAAAAAAAAAAAAACAGGAGTTCTTGTAGGAATTATAGGTCTTAAACTGAGTTAGGATTTATCAACTCTAACATTTTACCAAGGAAAAAAACAAAGACATATATGATGAAAACCACTTTTTGTTCTGGATCAACAGAACTGTGTTTCAATATCATATTTTGAGAATTATGGCCAACATGATTTAATATGTTCAGCAGATATGGCTCAGCTATTTATACAAATATGCATTGTTATTATTCTTCACAACAAAGGATGACTTGCCATGACTTTTCTCTCATGACTTATACAGTACATATTCCTTGAGGCAGTATGACAGAGGATTTTTAATGGGTTCTGTGAAGAATTAAATGCTATAACAGACTCTTAAGATATATTTCCATTTGCAGTCTAGCCTCCAGTTAGATATTACATGCAAAAAGTTTTAAATATTTCAACTAAGACTTCTGTTCATAGTGTAATGAATGAGAATTCTTTTCTACATATTTCATAAAATATAATCTGAACAAAGGAAGATGTTATCATATTTTAAATACAATGATGAAATGAAATATGGCTTCGGAGGTAGAAATGGGGCTTGAAGAAAAACCTCAAAAGTCCCTGCATTTTCTCTTTGTAATTAATACCATTATGACTTTGCGCCAGCCTTTTTTTAATCTGTGAATTAGTCCCTCATTAAGTGTAAATCAGTCATTTTCTGAAAACTGTCATTCAAATACACTAACTGGGCTCTGTGTGTTTTTCAGACTTTCAAATTGGTACTGAGTCTAGTGAAAACAATACATGTCAGTTGCTTTAAAACAGAAGAAAATGCTTTAACTAGATACCTGTACACAGCACTTACAGGATGGCAAGGGTATCAGACCAAGCCAGCATAGGTTTAGGAGGGTTAGGTCATGTTTGACCAACTTGGTCTCTTTTTATGACCAGTTGACCCGGTGGATGCAGGAAAGGCTGTTGCTGTTGTCTATTTGGACTCCAGCAGGCCTTTGACACTGTCTCTCACAGCACACTCCTGGAAAAGCTGCAGCCCAAGGCTTGGACAGGAGCACTCTTCACTGGGTTAGGAAGTGGCTGGATGGCCGGGCCCAGAGAGTGCTGGTGAGCGGTGCTGCATCCAGCTGGGGCCAGCCACCAGTGGTGTCCCTCAGGGCTCTGTGCTGGGGCAGTTCTGTTCAATATTTTTATTGATGACATGAATGAGGGGATTGAGTCTTTCATTAGTAAATTTGCAGAGACCTGGAACAGTTGGATGGATGGGAAGAGTCCAATAAGATGAAGTTTAATAAACCCGTGTGCTGAGTCCTGCATTTTGACCACAACAACCCCCTGCAGTGCTACACCTGGGGATGGTGTGGCTGGACAGTGCCCAGGCACAAAGGGACCCGGGAGTACCGGTCAGCAGCCGACTGAACATGAGCCAGCAGTGTGCCCTGGTGGCCAAGAAGGCCAGTGGCATCCTGGCCTGTGTCAGGAATAGTGTGGCCACCAGTAGGACCAGCAAGGTCACACTTCCCCTGTACTCAGTGCTGCTGAGGCCACACCTTGAGTGCTGTGTCCAGCTCTGGGCCCCACAGTTTGGGAAGGACATTGAGATGCTTGAGCACATCCAGAGGAGGCAACAAGGCTGGTGAGGAGCTTGGAACACAAACGCTGTAAGGAATGGCTGAGGGAGCTGAGGCTGTTTATCCTGGAGAAAAGGAGACTCAGAAGTGACCTTATCACTCTCTACAACTCCCTGAAAGGTGGTTGCAGTCAGGAGGGGGGTGGTCTCTTTCTCCAGGCAGCAACAGACGGAACCTGAGGACACAATCTTAGGCTGTGCCAAGGGAAATATAGGTTGGATATGAGGAAAAAGTTTTTACGGAAAGAGTGACAAAGTACTGGAATTGTCACCATCCTTGGATGTGTTTAAAAAAAGACTGGACGTGGCACTCAGTGCCATGGTTTAGTTGAGGTGTTAGGGCATGGGTTGGAGCTTCGATGATCTTGAAGATCTCTTCCACCCTAATGATTCAGTGGTTCTGTGATTCCAGTTTATTGAATGGATAGTTAAAAGTAATTTTGAGTGTTTTTAAAATATATATAAAATTCTTTGCAATCTTGTGCCCTGTGTTCATCCTATTAGGCAATTTACAATTCTGTGTGTGTGCATGCATTTGCTCATGTATTTATTTTTCATTTCAATAGCATACCCCTGAGTGGTGGCTGGTCTGGTCTGACCACAGCAAGCTCTGCCACGGTCTCAGATCCATCTTCTCCAAACAGATATGAGGCTTCAGTGTGAAAGCTCAACTCTTGTTTAGTGTCCAAGTCTTTTAGCTGAAGCTGCAGGCAGAATCAGAGAAAGAAATTAATTTATTTGAATTATTTAATTTCCTATTTCCATCCCAATAGAAACTGACATTTCGTCCTTTTACTAACTCCTGCACACACTTTATAACAGCTATCTGATTCTGAATAGCAGTTAGAGCAGCTTCTTCAAGCTGCTAATTCTGTAGCCTGATGTTTATAGGTGTATTCTTCACTGTATATCACCACAAGCATAGGACATAGCATTTATAAAGAAACAATGAGAGATACAGCTTAAATTGACCTGTATGTGTTTGCAATTTCAGAATGTCAAATGAATGAATATGGTTACATCAATCTTAATAGCATATGTCAATTTTGCAAAAACATTTGGTTTGCTGCTTTTTATTTTTTTAAATGAGTCTTGCTATATCTCAGGTAGGATTTTCAAAGTTGGCAGAAATTAGTGTCCAGTGTCTTTCAGGGCTACGTGTGGAAATAAATTATTTGAAGAATAAATTTCAATGGAATGGGCAAGCTTAGGTCCAGCTTCATTCTACTTGGCTTTAAATATTTATTGGAGAGGGAAGAAATTAGGTTCCAAGTGTGTGGACTTAGAACATCCAAACCAGCTGAGGAAGTACAGCCTTAGGAGCTCACATATCTCCTCTGAGAGGGTCAAGGTGGAAATCAGATTCACAGGAAGTCAACTCAGATCATATCCTAGGTCAGGTTATAAAATACAGAGTAAAAATCTATTAAGTATATGCAGAAACATTTGTGGTAACTATTACATGAAATATTGAACTTCATAAATAGCCAATGTCTGCAAGTTTGCAGAAATAGTTTCTTCGGTGTTCAGGATCTCTTTGTATAGAAGTAGCATATCCAAGATATTTAAAACAAAAGGAAACAAAAGGAAACAAAAACTTAATTTCATCAGGACAGTAAGTAATTGGAGTTCTTAGGCAGGGATTCCCAAAATGATTGTGGTCACTTCTTTCCAGTACTGACAGCAGCTTCAACAGCAAAACTTTGTGTTCATCATACAGAATAAACATATAAGTGTTTAGAAATCCTGAGTACGTTTCCTGACACAGATTTCAACTGCAAGCTGTGAGATGTATAAATATTTTTATAATTGAATGACATAAACGAAATTATTAGGAATTTGACAGTTTTGCTCTCAAAAATTTTGTCGTCAGACTGTGTTGTCCTTGACTTCTTAGAAATGCAATAACCTAACATTTTCCATTACTGCTTATTCATTTTGTCCAGTGATTTACAAGATTAGTCACAGGGCTTCTAGATGAAAGTAAACAATACGCCATAACAATTTCCAGACTTAAACCATTAATTACTTGGATAAAAGGTAGATTTATTTAGGTAGTATTAAATTCTACTAAAATTGCAGCCCTGTTGTTTACAAAAATAGGGGTTTTTTGCACTTGCAAGAACAAATTTTTTTTAGATTAAATGTATAACTTCTTCTTACACAAAAATATTTTCCCCTAACTTCTATCAATATGTGCAACCCTAAATATCCATACATATCACAAACTCCTATCTGTCTTAAGATTGCACTAAGGTTCACCTCCATGTGCAGGCAGACAGCCTGCAGAAACTGGACTCATAAAAAGGAGGTGTGCAGATTTATGTAGACTTTGGCCTTAAAATAAAACTTACCTGACAAATTCTTGCTAGTTCTAAGATTACATCTAAGTGTGAACTTAATCTTCAAATCATATAGTGTTGCTATATTGTAAACAAATGTAAAAATGGGTTTCTATTCTATTTTAGGAAAGACCAGAAACTGGTTTTGAGCAAGAAATAGCTACTCAGTCTACACTAAATAAATCTTCAGAAGCTACAGAAAATACATAATTTTTAGCTAAGGTTATATAATTCACTACAGAATTTTGCAGAAAACTGTAGGAGACAACAGGAAAAACTCTGGTACTTGGAAGAACCCTGTAAATATCAAAATAGAGAAGACAGAGAGTAGCAAAATGAAAACGTAGGGATTTTATCTTCTTTTTGCAGTTTAATCTGTGTTTATGAGAAAATTCTGGAACTTTGAATATTATTTCTTTCACTTAAACAGAAATCAAAGAAGGTCATTTTATTTAGTTGGGGCTGGGTTTGACCACTGGTTCACATCCTTGCACATCCTGACTGCTGCCTGTCATTTTTCTGTTTCTATACATCTCTATTTTTTACTGCACTGTAAGAATCCTACCAGAGTGAGATCAGCTTGTTACATTTTAGATTATGCTTCCATGAATAACTAATTTATAAATAGACTAATAAAATAACATTATATATTATAAGCATATTAATGGCAAAATCAATAGGTGTTATGTGGCTTGTGCTGTGAGTTGCACATGCATATAAGAAACTACTTACGTTTATAGCAACTTACTGAGTTCTTGTAGATTGTAACAATTTATAGCTACTAATAAACCAATTATTAAATTAATTATGAAGTATTTGAAAGTACAGACAAAAATCACTTAGCCAGTTGCATAGGGTTCTTTTGGAAAAGAAAGCAAAATATTACATTTATGAATTTTCTGCCATGTTTTGAGCCACCAGGTCTGGAGGCTGAAGTCTTATATTACATAATGGATATATTAAACATAGTGTCAAAATATTTTTGGAATGCTTTATCAAATGGCCTGGAGATGCATATTTAAAATGAGAAATTAGCTTTGCTTACCTATTCTTTCCATTTTTATAGCCTAAATGGAGAGCTGACACAGAACACATTTGGGGAGAAAATGTAAGATAAACTCCTCCTCTATCCCCAGAGGATCTCGTAAATTCAGACTCAACATTCCTTTGAGTGCCATAAGCCCACTGACATTCTAGTCTGGAATGCAGCTGTCTCTAGCATTTCCCATCAGAATGGTTTCTGGAGTCTTTATGCATTTAAGGAATCACCTTGATCTTTTAAATCCACATCAGGGTTAAGGGACTCTGTGGCAGAGTTCAGGAAAGCATGCTTCTACTTCAGATTAATTCAGTGCTATGTCCACAGTGGGGTTTTTTGCCCTTGCCTATAGGCAGAGCTCATTGATACAATTTTTCCTTGAATTAACCTTCAAGTTTAAGTATTAAGAATACTTTTAAATTCTAATTGTATTTTAAGATTGACAGCATTAAGTCCCTTCTCCACTCCTTTTTATGAGAATTCTTAAAGACCTATTAAACTACAATCAGAGGTTTGAGGCCCACCGATGGCCATATTGCAAAGAATAGACCCTGAATATTATCTTAATTGGCTTCCACAGGTAGGTTGGTCTGAGTGTGGAGACTGCCAGTATTTCCATGCAGGAATCAACATTTCCTAACATCAGCAGGAAACACTGTCTTCCATGTATAGATGAACTGTGCATAATGGGTCTGCACACCAGTGAAGAGCTATCACAACATGCACTTCAGCAGGTGCAAACAAGGTCGAGCTGCCCACAAAGAGATCTGCAAGCTGTAGGCAATCATCTGCAGATACCAGGTAACTGAGACCGTCTGTGTCTCAACAAAAGTTATTTACTGTTATGTTGAAAACTATTGCAAGCTTATATGCGTTATATTTGGAATACCTTGTGAAGTTTAATTCCTCTTCTCAAGGATGGACCACATAACACAAAGGAGACTTTTGTTATATCTCCAATATCACCAACAGTCAACTGTTAAAAAAAATAGTAATAATTAACTATATGTAGTATGCAACAGTTTGCATGGCATACTTTAAACCCCCCCCAAAAAAAGATAAATACAACAGGTAATAATATTAGTCAATGAGGTTAGTGTTAGGAGGAGGAATTCCTATTAAGAGTGCAAGTTAATTTGGACTCACATTTGTATCATAAATTATGTCTATTTTTTACTGAGGGAAAAGGTTGCAGAGCATAGGCTAACACAACAAAAGGAAGGAAATGTACAACTGAATTCTGTTTTTCAAGGTCAGGTTTTTTCTCCTCACTTAATTCGAAGTTAATGAGGTTTTTCACATCAAATTTGGCATTTCCTCAAGAGAGTTCTCTTAAGTGATATGTTTTGGCCCACAAGTGAGAAGTTCTCCAAGCTGTGTTTATTTAAGACATAAAGGTGTAAACATTAACTCTGACAAGCAGCCAGTACACAAAATGTCATACATATTGGCTACAATCCTTATTTTACTGAAACTATTTGGTAAGACTTGTATGAAGTAGAAAAGAAACTAACCAAAAAGGGAGTATCATTTAGATTTTGAACTTTCTGTGTAGGTGATTTCCCTTTTCTTCCAAATGCAACAATTTCAATGTTAGGAACATCTTCTGGTACTTGTGTGCAGTGCAACCATGTTTGCCATCGTCCTCTACTTTTTGTATCTAAATTTTTCATGGGAAGAGATGTCACAGATGTTTCTGCAGTAAAAGAAAACCTATATTTAGAGCAATATTTGTTATAAGGCATTATAAACCAAAAGATTACATTGCCTGGTAGTGCTGGATGTAGCACAGGAAATTCAGGCAACAAAGCCACAAACCCCTCATTATTCACGTTAGTCCCATGGAGGGGTAGAAAACCAGGCCAGTGGCTTCATGGATCAATGTCACATTCACACAGAGGCCATGCCTCTTCTCTTTGTATTGTTCCAAGGACAGGAAATGTCCTGCCAGAGGAGACTCTTTCAATAGTGCCATTTCTCCATCCCAGGCATAATTTCTTCCCCTTTGTTTACAGAAGGCATGATTCACCTTGGTCCAGGACTGTGCCCCTCACCACTGGGGTATCAATGCTAAGTTCTTCCTCCTGTGTGAAGTAACCTTATACCAGCTGTAAACTGCTCTGCCATGCAGGAGTGACTAATGGAAATGAAGGACATTTCTGCTTGTACTACCTTTGAGCGGAATTGCGACTTCTACAAAATCTTCCTTGGAGCGTTTATTGATCCATCCATCGTGAAAAAAAACATGTGTAGAAAAAGGGTAGAAGACTTCTTTTATAAGAATTTTTTCCAAAAACCACCCATCTGATTAAAAATAAATAGGACATTATTAATTTATACCTTTTAAACAACAAAATATTCTGTGTATGCAGTCATAAGTTTCTACCTTCATCAAATCAATAAAAGGTTTTCTTTTGACAGACTTCTTAAGGAAAAAAAATTTCTGAAAATATATTGGCTATGTGTATGTGTTTCTATTTGTTCCACTACAATCCAAAATAGTCAATGTTTTTACAGATCTTGTGAAATTAAATGTAGGGATAGATTTGCTGTAATGATCTATTACAACTCAAAGTACAGAAAGGCTTCTGTATGCAATCTCTAGACACAAGAAACCCCAATAGGAAATTGTATTATCAATGTCCTAATGGAAAAAGGATCAGGATTTCTATGACATTAGCCGTTAGAAAATCCAGAGCTTTCTTTCTGGGGAGATACTATTCTATATAATAAGGAACAAACCAGCTAGTTTTATCTTGATTTTGAACCATGATTGTTTGGAAACAAAGCATTTGAAGAGTCTTGGTAAACTTGGTTACACACCCAGTCTTGCTGAAGTGAATGAAAGTTGGATTGTTCATTTTAATGTTACCATCTAGGAAATAGTCTCCCATCCTGTTTTTCTGAGTCCAAGTTTAACCTACAGAGTCATTTTGTAATCTTGGGGTTTTTTAGAAAAGAAGAAGGAACAAGAGACTCAGGTTATCATACTCTGGAACAATCATTTCCATTATCAACATTACCCTGCAGGAGTAAAATACCTGTAGAATCTCTATTCTGTTGTCTTTAAAAAACGATGGGCCAAAATTGTAGCCAAAGGATTGAATAAAATACCAATTCATGATACTCTTTGTTGTTGATATTTATTTTCAAGAAATAAGCAAATGTTTTTTAGCTAGAATAGCTGCTTTGGAGTCAGCAGTAGGATGAGAAAACATGCTGCAGCAATACAGCCTTTTTATCTGCCAGTCAGCCCCACATATGCAGGATTAGAAGGAAAGAACCTATGAGGCCAGAACAGCCTCTCTTCTGTGTACCACTTCTCAATCTAATGAACCAATTTTATGTTCTTATCTTTACATAGAAGCATATAGCCCTAAAATAAATTAATTTTTTTACATATCCATCATCTAAAAATGTGCAGCAAGTCAAAATTTACAAAAGTTTCAAAAGCATGATGGCGCACTGCTTCATGAAAAACAAAAGCTTTGTCGACTGTGCTTATAAAAAGATAGAAACTTCAATGGAGAACAATTTCATTAAAAATTTACAATTTTACATTGTTATATGTCCTTGGAATCCCTTGCACAAGATCCAGCTGAATCTGGATACTTGACATGTATAATCCAAAAGAAATAATGAACAGCAGAAAATGGGAATCAATTTCATGTTTTCTAAATTTTTTAAACACTTTTGTGTTAAATTTCAGACATTTTTGAAGTACTAGGATCACCCAAATCTAATAATCCACATCATTATTACCTTCATTAACCAAAAAAATTACCAACCTTTTCTTAGACTTTTAAATCCAACACAAACTTGATTCAACTTGCCAAGGTATACAGATTTGATTTTGAAAATATCCACCTGCAATATGAAAATAATTTAAATTATATTTTAGTTTAACTTAATAGGGGTCTGGTTTTGAGTATTTATCAGTTTAGCCTAGTGCATCTGATCATTGTTTTGCACCTTGATAGAAGCAAATTTATCTCATCTATGCCATTTAATTGTTTGATTTCATAATTAAATATTATATACTGTAGCTCATCTTTTCTTATCCAGTTGATATTATGAGTTATGAATTTCAAAATGCCTCTGTATTCAGTAGGAAGTATTTTTGGAAAAATCAGATACACACACTAGCAATAAAATTCTCATTTCTCATACCTTCATGGACTGAAATAAACAAATCTTAGTGTGTTTAAAGTTACTTTGGTCCAGAACCTAACTTGCAATGAAACCGATAAATACTAGATGTCTAATAATTCTGAAAATCTGGAGAAATTTAATTTTCACTAAAATTCACAATTAATTTAGTGGGAATTAGGTATGCAAATGGGAATTAAGTAAATTATATCTGTAAAGATTTCAACCACTGTGCTCTTGGGATAAGGCTGTCTCCTTGAAATCTCTCTACAATAGGCCAGATTTTCTACATACAACAGACTTGAATGATCAGTAGACTTCATGGAGCCTTTCCTTTTTTCAATACCATAAATCTTTATAGATTATTCACCTTCCTGCCTATATATGCTCATCTTCTTCTTTGAATAGTCATCTTCATAATCTCTGGGAAAGCTCACGGAAGTATGTGCATTGACACTGGGAGCACACAGTGCTTAAAATGCATATTCATTGGCTTTTCTTAAGTGGGCCTGAAGAAATGAGGTTTGGAAGCATACAATTTATGAATGGATTCATCTAATCTTTTGAGAAACCAGCTGCAAAATTAAATCTCGACAGCTAAGACTTTTATTTCATGTGATTTCATGATTTATTCTGTTGAACACAGAAGCAGTTGTCTTGAGAAGTTGGGTTGAAAATGCAAGTTTGAATATAACAGTTGGGGACTAGTTTGTGGGTTTGAAAAAAAATAACAAAACACTTGCATTATTCCCATAGTGGCACAGTTCCAGAATTTTAATGACTGTGAGAATAATATTGATCAAAAGAATCATTTGGAAAAAAAGAGCAATAACTAAAACCAGAGCATTCATCCTTTGAGGGTAAATTGGTGTAAAGAGAACTGCAACAGAGTGAATATCCAAAGAGTTGCTACTCAAAATCTTTCCTATACGAAGAAGATTAGGGTCTTATAGCCTAGGATATAGAAAAGCCCTTTAGAATTTCAGAGGAAGGATTTAACAAGTCTGAACAAGCCTGTTCAAAAACTGACACAGAATCTGGATTATACAGAAAAAATCCTTGTGAATTTGCAGATGAGTAGTACTTCCACAGGAATGAGTATTCACAGAAGTCAAGTGCTATTGTTCAGGTTCTTCTCTACAAGTTTTATTCTTGGCAAAAATGTAACACATTCTTATAAAATAAAGAGTTTTTTTAAAAGGTTGGGACAGTTTGGGATTTTGAAAGAAACAGGAATCTGTTCCTCTTCCAGCCTGTACTGATACCTTATCCATTGTAGCACGCAGTCTTGCTGTTCTGATTTCTCTGACACTATCCTTAAGACGTACTACACAGGACTATTATCTGTTATCATCAAAAAGACTAATCTATACAACTTCCTACATTACTCCTTCAAGCAAGATGAGCTCTACTATCCTGTCATTATTTTCAGATTTGACTTGTGAATTGATCTACCAGTTTGACCTGTTCCTGATGAGCATGACATTGGGTATGCATATTCTCTTCCACAATGAAGAAAGAAAATACAGAGGACATAATGACTAAAATCTGGGTTTCTTTTCATACAAAAAAATTGTATCTTCTAGAATCTTCAAAAACAGTAAGAAAAGCAGATAAAATAAACATAGGTATGTGTAAAGAATAAATGAAGCATGTATCAAGTACATTTCTCTAGATTTCTGCACCAGAGAAGAAATTACACTAGGCTGGCTGGCAAGAGTGAAATATTCTCTCCCACCCTCCCTAAAAGAAGATTTCCAGGTATTTCATTTACAATTTCCTTAAAACAAAAAATCAAAACAAAACAAAAAAATCCAAGTTGAAATTCTAAACACTAGAATCTAATAAACTATCAGCTAGACAAGTTCTTTTGATTTGAAAGAGATGTTTCCTTTTGATCTGAAGTCTGTTTTAGTTACTTTGTTCTTTTGCCAATAACTACTCAAGGAATTACTCTTCTAGGAAAAGCCATTTTGTCTCAAAAAATGACAGTATGTTTACCAAAAAGCAAGAAGTAGGTGGAAAATTTTGAAAAGTGAAAAAATAAGATTCTTCTTGGAACACTGACAGTGTTCAGGAAAGTTAACAAGGTAAGTTCATAGACTACTTTAGATGAAGTGGCTACAAATGTGAGTTATCCTACAGAAATATTATCATTTCTAACAAACTGGCATATTTTAATAAAGCAGTGATGCTTCCCCAGCCTTTAAAGTCTGGAATATTAAAACAGAAATCTTAAAGGTCATTTAGTCCAATCCAGAATTAATTTATCACCTTAACAGTTTTACTGTAGCACAACAGTGATGATGCTTAAAAATAATATGTTAGCTACGGAGACAATCATTATACAGAATATAAAACATTAATATTTTTGATACTCTATCCATTAAAGATTTTCTGAAAATATAAGTTCTAACAAAAAGACGCACAGATTCAGTTACATTTTTCCTCATTATTTTACCTGCCCTCTAGCGAAAATTATCAGGCTGTTTTTTGAGTTAAGCCATCTCTTCCCTGAGTCGCATTTTTCTCCTTGTATACGAAGATAAACCTCTCCAGTGGCATCTGCCTTCTTCAAGTCTCCTGTGTGCAAATGGATCTCATAGTCCACAACTTCAGAAAAAATAGACAAAATAAACCCAAAAAGTCAGCAGGAGAAAACACTTGTCATCTTGCCTGACACCTGCATTACATACCAGTTCTTAGGATTGCAGATTTCACCTAATCCCATAATGTACCACCAAACAAGGCCTCTTCAGTTCTGGTGACATACACATAACCAAAACACATTCTTGCTGCATAACAGGATTACAATGTAGAGATTTGCTCTGGTCTGCCACCACTCCCAGAAACTAAGTGCTACTTATTGCTCTCTGGGGAACAGGCTCTCTTGTGTACTGTCCCCTTCCATATAAGAAAAAAACATACATGCATCCTCTTCAGAAAGTCTATTTTTTTCTATTATTTACTGATAATTCTTTTCTTTTCCATCCCTCTATTTTTATTTATCACTGGTTAGACCACAAAACTATCACAATGTTTTTAAGTTAAAATATGTTAATACAAAATTTAAAAAATAAATTAAAAATTCTTTGAACATCAGCTTTAACACATAAATATAAAACCCTCCTGATATTTTGTATCATTCTCCAAAGAACCTGCTATTACTGATATAAAAGCCCACAAATACAGGTCAGATAACTGAATTTTGAGTTTAAGGGAAAGTATTCCTGAGTTTCTCATCTGTGGTCATAGTACAGAGATTAGAAGAGACACACGTCCCCTATGCAAAGCTTCTGCTTCCTTGCCTCTTTTTGTCACAATACATAGGGATGCAGGTGAGACCAGACTGAATTCATGTCAATGAAACTTCATGGAAATCTCCTATGTTCACTTTTTAAATAACATATTTCAGCCCCCGAGTTTCCTATGGAAACAAGGAACAAGGAAATACTTAAACAGAAGCAGGTCACAATCTCAATGCCCACTGTTATTTGCATCATTTTAACAAGGACCCCAGGACAAAATAAGAAGGTTTTTTTGGGGATAGATTTTATTTTCTTTCTGATGTTCTGTGCTCTAATTCAATTATAATAGTAAGTATCATTTGTATAGTGTGTTCATTTGGGCTCATTTTTGTTATGAGCTGGCACTGTCAATTTAGGAATCTAACTTTGGTGGCTATTTTAGGACTGAGATCCTTATGTAGCCAGCAGGGGAAGGCAGGTGCTATAGAAAACACCTCTGATGGGTTCCCACACATTCTAGAGATAAACACTAGAACTCAGGAGTCTAAATTTAGGTGGTCTAAATATTCCTCTGCTTCAAACCACAGGCATCATTTCTTCAGCCTAAGAATAAAAGCTACGCTCTTGTAGCAACACATGTTTGTAAAACATGACTGTCTAATATTTTTACAAGGACAGCATTTTTCTCCACTGTAAAATGCACAGCCACGTTTGGGATGCAGGTGATGAGCAGCGCACATGTACCAAGAATGTATCTGAAAACATTTGAATTATCTCTTGAACTTTTTTATCACAAATATGAAGAGTTTATTTTGTTGTTGGTTTGTTGGGTTTTTTTTTTTTTTTTTTAAGAACTGAGCAGTCTTAAAATCCAGTGTTTTACAAGTCCTGAGCTATGTTTGACTGCCAAAAATTATCAGCCCTTTCTCCCACAGCCTTCATCACTGTAGCAGCAGAACACAGAAAACATCTAGACTATGTGACATTTACATGCTGGAGAAACTCCCAGCCTCACTCTGCCTCCTGTCCCTCCCTGGAACTTGGCTGGCTTTACAATATCTGCTTTCCCAGGCAACTCTGGTGCACAAAGGAGGGGAGTGGTGCTTTAGACAGACATGAAATCAAGAAGAAACAAAGAACTTTCAGTTTCACAGCTGACAGTACAAGCTAGAGAGCACGGAAATGCACATTATTCAAGTCTGAAACATATATTTCAGTCTACTGTACATCACAGGATACATGAATATCTGAGTATACATCCTGGAAACGTCTGATATTCTCAGGATATTTTTCTTCTTCAATCAAATTTTTTCCAAAATAGAAATTTTTAAGCAAACTGTACATTCTTTAAAAACATTATGAGAAAGTTCTAGTAGGTTTAAGAATGATTCAATGAACGCAGAAGCTAAAGCTGTCATTTAGTTTTATGCGTAGGTGATAGGAAAACAGGAAGGGAAAAAAAATGTTCTGAGGATATTTATTTTAAGCTTTTCTTACAGCTCTTTTCACAGGTTGGTGCTATTCATGTTGAGTGTTAAAATCAAAAGGTCTGAATTCAAATATTGTGACATCTTGTATAGCTATTTCTTTCTATCTCTAAAATAAAAAGGTCCCATAACAGGATTAACAGTTTAAAAGAGTGGGTTGGTATAGACTGTAACACTAATATTTAAATGGATTCATTAAATAATAAGGGCTGCATAAGTCTGCCAATAAAAGTCTGCTTGTTTCAATAAACTTCTGAAATATATTTATTTGTCGTTACATTTATTTCATAAGCAGTATGTCTGAGAAAATCTGCTTAAATGTAGTTTTATTTCACTGCAGCAATATTTGCTTCAGGGACTCCACCTGGGACTATTTTTGTTTTAATAATTTAAACTAAGGACTGGGAAAATTCTTATAATTGATGGTATCACTCATATTTGATAATAAGAAGTAAACCAAGAGTTTTCCAAGCTTGGGGCCCTAATGTATCTTATTCCTTTATTCAAGGAGGTTAAATATGTGCTGCCAGGTAAAAGACAAAATAGCTGCATTAAAGTCAGCACAGCTACACAGACTTGATCTTTCTGGAGTTCCAGATGGTTGAAAATACATGAGCTGTCCAGGTGACACTTTAGTTAGCATTTAGCCAATGGCATTTTGCTTTTAGGGGAATTAGGATATGAAGTTTCTCTGTTGTTGATTCAGAGTCCTTCCTCATCTGTGTAACTGGGCCATGTGAGAAGATTTGTTGAAATCAAAAGGCTATTTTTATGAATAAGATTAAAATATTTTGGTCCCTGTGGCTGGCCATTTCTGTGGGGATAGATGAGCAAGCACAGTGCTCACATTTTTACTGCTTTTGTCCATTAATATTTGAATCATTAATACACAGACCCATGAGCTTAGCTTAGAAATATATGTAGTGTTTCTGCTGAGTAAGTACTTTCAGCTGGATCTGCTGAATCTATTGATGCATAATTTAAAGCCCAATGCAATCATAGCAAATATTTACTATTAATTTTCCACTATTTAAGTGAACTAAAAGTATACAAAGTAGCCCCTATGAAAGGAGTCATAACAGAAAGGGGATGCTGGGAAACAGCGTAAAAGTTTTTACGCTGAGTTTGGGAGCATTGTGTTCTGTATGAACAGCATACCCCAACAACAAAAATCTATTAAGACAAGGTGTTCTGTTCAAGCTTGTCATTCTCTGGCTCTTCCCAATCCTATTTATAAAAATTCTCTTCCAGATGTAAGACAACATATTGAAACTGAAAGCAATCAGCAGATGTTCATTTAAAAAGAAAAAACCCATAAATTAAAAATAGGAGAGTAAATGCATATTGGTTTTTTTATTATTATTTTGCATTAATTTCTTATGTGTGTGTCTTTGTGTTAATAAAACAAATAAGACATTTTAGGCTGAAGTAGTATTTGGACCACAAAGAATAAAAGTGATATTAACACTTCCAGTTGTAAATCATGGGACTCCACAAAATGGTTTGTGAGAAACCTTATAGGTTGGTAGATACTCCTATCTGAAGATTAATTTTTGAGAGAGAGCATATACATATCTTTTCCCAGAAATTTTCCAAGAAAAATACCCTAGATTTCTAATATACCTCAATAATTAATTATTTTAGATATCAGAATAATGCTTTCAGACAGTATCTCCATTTGGCTCTTAGCACTATAGAGGCTTTGAAAGGTGTATTTTAGAATTTTAACTTTTTAAAATTTTTGGATTTTTATATACAATAAAAAGTTTATCAAGTTTGAATTCAGAATAATCATTCATATTTACAGTCCTTCTCATTTTTTCTTAAATAAATTAGAGAAATAGGGCCTTTTAATAAGGTATAGAATTACTATATTCATAATTGTAAATCCAGCATATATTACATCCAACACCCAATGTTTTTTGAATCTGATGGATCAAAAGTCTAAAACGGTAAGATTTTTCAGTACATGAATACAAGGTGACAATTTTTTTTAATTATGCAAACCCACACAAAACCAGAAATTTAAAGGGTCTTCACTGCTTCTTTCAAGTTTCAGCTTTAAGTTTGATGAAATATTTAGGAAACTCTCTGTAGAGAATGGTCTGCAAAACTCCATGTGGTCTATTTTATTTCTTTTTCTGGGCTGCCTCCATCTTTTTCTATTAGTTTCCATTTAAGTAGAGCACTCTTTGTTCTGTAGCCTCTAGCAATAAACCTCTTAACTGGCACTAAAAGCCTCAATATATGATCTTTACTCTCTCAATCAATCCTCTTTATTCTAATGAGCTGAATAAATGGGAAGCTTGTCCTTAAGTAGTAGTGATCAGGTTATCAGTACACAATTGGTTGTTCCAGGGGAAGTGGCTGGGGGTGGTTGGCAGAAATCACTTAATTATCTCTCTGGCATCATACCATTCACATGTGTTATTAACAGCAGAGAAACATGCAACTTTATGTGTATTTTTGTAGAGTATCACTTGCTGTGCTAGGAATTTCTCATTGACATCAATAAAACACTAGTGTAATTGAAATTCTTGAATATATCTTTGATGGCTAATATCTCTTGGCTGGTAGACTTTAAAAAGTCTACCTTTGTTGTGTAGGGGGTCTGCAATTTTTTTCTTCTTTACTTTGTTTCTAGATCACATACATTTCTTTGTGAACAGAAGAGACAAATAGTATCACACAGAAGATAATATTTTGTACTCATCTTCAGCTGACATAGCATTAATTTGAAGATATAATAAAGAGTTAAAACTGGAACATCATCTAATGTGAAAGAAGCCAAATACTGTGTTTGGTATCACCAGTTAGAGCATCTCATAATCCTCATACCAATGATTTCTCTTTAGTGGTAAATGCATGTGCAAAACCATCACATTCCTTAATATCTAATTCTTATGGAAATCTTCACACAGTATTTTTGGCCCAGAAGAGATGTACTGGTATTCCAGAGACAGATCCTGACCCAGTAACAAAAAAGGACATAGCTTACCAGGCAAAGGGTCTTGATCTGCATAGAGAGCTGGCAGCTCCACACATTTGTCTTCCTTAGGGTTGAACCAGCAGTCAAAAGCTAAATACATCTCTTCCTTTGTGCCTGTGTGCTTCATATGCAGTGAATCTAAGTGCCATGGCTGTTTTAGCTCACTGTGTGGGCCAGTTACCTGAACTTTGTATATTGAGCCAATATCTGCCAGTTCATCCTATGTGAGGAGAAAGACAAAATGAATGGATCTCATTTCAATTGTGCCAGAACATAGTTGGCAGCTGTATGCAACAGTTGAACAAACTTCAGTAGTTAAAAAATTGGGGTAGATTTATAACTAGTACTATCTTCTAATCAACTTTACTAATTTCTGATCAACATTACTAATTTCTAATCAATAAAAAATGATTTAAAAACATGAATGAGGAGAGGGAATGCTTGAGGTTTGATATTAAGGAACAAGCAATGGCAGTCACTGATGAAATTTATACACAGAAGAAGGCACAATGTTCATATATATATATATTACACAAATTCAGTAGATTGTTTTCAGGCACAGAAGATTTAGCCAATTTTTAAAACTTTGGACACTGTTGGAAATATTTCTTACAACAATAAAAGTGATGCAATTAATCATAAATTTGAAAGAAAGCTAATCCACTTTTGAGGAAATATCCAAGAGATCTTTAATCCTCACTCTAGATCATAGAAATTGTACATTAAAATCTTGCATTCATACTTGAGAATAAAAACCAATCGACTTCTATTGGGTAGAAGTATAATGCACCATCTCTAGGACATACCATTACTTGAATAAGCAGAGGAGGCCTTAGATATTATACTTAGTGGTTTAAAAGAAATATTTTTTTTCACTGTAAGGAAAAAAACGGAGAAAAGAGATGTTATGTTTTCCTATTCAATACGTCTTGGATTCTTTCCCCTGCTCTTTCATTTTAAATATCCTCAGATGGTAAAAGTCCATGTGACTTGACTTCAGCCTTTCCTCTGACAGGGGCACTTCCATCTTCATACTGTTTTGGGTTTTTTTCATATTTACCAGAGGTTCTTGGAAATAACTCAGAAAAACCCTCTGAGTACTCCTCATTTTGGATCATGTTTGTGGTTAGTCTGCTTAGTTCCTCTTTCACTAAAGAAAAGAGGAGCATTAAAATACAACAAATTATTTCTTTAGCTCAGTCATAAAATTTAATTCATTAAGAGGAAAAAGGTAGAGACAATAAATAACAGGAGGAAAAAGAGAAACTATACTCGAAAAACCAGTTCAGAGAAACTGATGGCAGGGATGAATAAATTACACGAGAGAAAAAAGAGAAAAATTAACCTTCTGTGCATTTAATCTCATTTATGATTCTCCCTTCTCTATCCTCAGCCCCAAAAGCTCTACAGTATCCCATGGCATATTGTATGCTTACAAATTGCTGATTTTTGTGGGATCAACAAAGCCTGTAAATCAGTACCTGCCGCGTGCTATACACTGCGATATGCACCAAGGGACCAATTCGCTCACTTAAACATTCTCAGTATGAGACACTAGGAGAATTTGCTCATTCAGAAACCATTGTTCATGTGTTGCTACCTACAAACAAAAATGATGATCTGTGCCAAACTACACAGAGGACTTAAAAATCAATTTGGTAGTTTAGTTTAAAGAAACAATTTATCTCAGAATTAAGTGGATTATTTGCTACATGATTCGTAGGCTTTTCTTGCAACAGAAAAAGGTTGAAGTACTTTGATCTGAGTTGCTTTTCCTGTGACTTGAAGTGGCAACTTTTTGTGACTCAGGTTGCTGTAGAAGATAAAAGAAAGGCATATTGGATCCTCTTCAGCAATTAAGTCAGATCCAGTGATATCCATCATCCAGAAACCTGATGACTTCATGTTGATTTCAGGCAGTTTAGGACTAAGAGTCGACCTTCTACCTTTAAAAATCATCAAAAAGAAAGGAAAGATGACAGCATGAGAGAATGATATAATCTAGCAGGACTACAGCCTTTACAGTACACAAACAAAGCTCTTTTTGCAGGTTATGTTGTATCTATAGCAACTGCTCACTAAGAATAACACATCAATATCTTTATTATCTTTTTTTGTGAAGAATTTAGCAGCTTGGTGTTCTTTCTGTGTTAAAATTTAGTTTCAATGGTATTTTTTGATGCCAATGTATTTTCCTTGTCATATTTGGAAGTAATTGCTAAGAGAATATTCAGTCACCTTTTAGAAGTCTAAGTAATTTTCTTTAAAAAGCAATCAGTGTTACTAAAGTAAATTATCATTTAAGAGCACGTAGCCATATGTAGCATGTAGGCACCTAATGCAAAGCAAACAATTCTAATGAACTTTACTTGTCACCAGATGTTACCTAGCAAAATAATAGGTGTTGTAATAGTGTGAGACTGACAGGTAACCTATAATAAACACACAAAGTTATTTGCCAGATGCTCAGAAGATCAATATCACTAACACCCTCTCTTTTTTTTTCATTAATTGTTGCTATTCTTCATTTTAGTTCTGTTTTAACCAGTCTAGGTAAAGTGAAAATTATTCCATGAAAAGGAACAGCTCAGGAAAATGTACTTTCCACAACTTAAAAAAAACACACAAACTGAATCAAGGACATGCTATGTTTTACTTCCTCTGGACAAAGTTCAGTAGTTCATTTCCTTCGCATTTAATTCTTTTCACAGGATTGAAGAAATCTGTTGGTACTTCTGAATGACTAAAGGTCCTGCTGTAAGTGTTCTTTTGCCAAGTACATCCAGGTTTAGATTTGTGCAAATCATGGAATAGTAGTAGGCGTGAAATGAGCAGAAATGAGCATACCAGAACTGCTGCTTTGTGCTGTGGAATACTCTCACAGGTAACGATTAGGCTCATTTCACTGAAGTAATTTTTCTTTAGATTTCAAATGAGATTCTAGGCCAAAAAATAGTGCATAAAATTTAAGCTATTTATCCCCATGAGGTGCACAGCCTAAGCTTGGCTATTTATCTCTCATTGAAATATGCTGTGTTTCATTTGGAAGGCAGTTGTTCCATATGCAACACATTGACAAGACAGAATTACACTAACTTTGACCTTACCAGATGTGGCTCTGCTATAACACTAAGATCAAACTGAAAATTCACATTTTCAATAAAAGAAGGATACTATAGACATCTACATGAACTGTAGTCAAATATATGTATATAAAAATGGGCAGGTCAGTTCTGCAGAACTTACCAACTGTTACAATCTCACAAACAGTCTCACATAAACCCAGATGAGTATCAAGCCAATTCCACAGTGGAAAGACCCATTCTTTGTCTGAATCTTGTGATTCCTTGACTGTTACCATCTTGAGGTACATCCCTGCTCCATAGCCTTCTCCATCATGTCCTATGACCACTTTTTGCAAATGACTCAGGGAAACAGCTTCCACCAAAAATGAATCCACCTGCAAAACAGGGAAATACAGAATTTTGACTTGAAACGTCACAAAAAATATAGGCCTGAATTCATCTGAGAATTCAAAATTTTTAAAGTCTGATTCTATATGAAGTTTAACATAGCATCTCCCTGCTGAATCTGAGAAAGCACACACTGATTAGAATTAACATTTAATCCTATATTCATCATTAATGATGCACTGTAATTTCATTTGATCTTTGGTCAATATGAATCACTGCATCATTCATTTCATATTACATTAAAATCTTATACCTCAACTTTCTGACAGTCAGTTATTATAAGATTTTGGTTCTAATGAAATTTCTATCATTCAGATTTCTCATTTCTAAGGCTTATCATACAAGTCTAGATACAGATATTAATAGTTCTAAACAAAAGTTAGAAATCTGAAGAGTGTTTTTACTCCAAGATAGCTTTATAATTATTCTCCAGTAGTCAGAAAATCTGACTTTTTACTTTCCCTACAGAATGAAAATAATTTGTGGAGCAAATTGAGAAGAGCAATGGAGGAAGTTAACATGAAAGTGAAGGGTAAAAGATAAGAGACAGGAAGGGAAGCAGAATGGGGAAGGCAGAGATAGACATGAGAGAATTAAGCACAAGTAACAATAGATGAGAAAAGAGACCAGAAAAACAAGATAAGTAAAAATGTGTAATGCAAAGAAAGAAATTGTATGCCCCACTAAATTTCTGTGAGAAAGCCAGATATTCTGTATAGGGCCCAACCAGGGGCCAGATGGACCTCACAGTAACTGCTGAAGATTAGAAAGTTATGAAAAACTGGAGTTTGAACAGCAAAGTCTAGGAATATAATTAACACCATAATACAAATAAAATAATTCAGTAGTAGGCACTAACTAAACTGGATGTCAAAACAATTAAAAACACCAAGATATTAGCAAGCTCATCTCTAAAAGAATACAGCAGTTGTCAAAGTCCTATGTGTTTTTCCTATTACTTTTTAAATAAAATATTGGAGAAACAAATTTTCTGCTACTGATAGTGAAAGTACTTCCATATAACAGAAAGATTTTATTTTTTTCTAGTAATAGTCAGAACCCAACAGCAGATTGGGAGCAGAAATCATTAATTTAATTAATTAAGTTATTTTAGGAAATAAATCCATGTATGTACATAAATTAAAAGAATTACAATATAGTGCTGTCTTCCTTATATAGGCATAGTTCTGAGAAATACACAATAATGAAATTTAGAAATTGTCTCAGTTCATTACTGATTCCAATTTTACTCTAACAAGTGCTGTGGCAGTTATCTAATAAAATTATTTCACAGAAATCTAAGCCTCTCCTTGACAATGGACACTTTCAAACATCCTTATTCAGTGAGTGAATGTCTAATACAAAAGAGAAGACTTTTATTTATAGTGTTTATTTAGAAACACTGGGTTTATTTGCATTCTTTTTCTAAGTGGAATTTTTTGTCTAAACTTGCTGATATTGAGTTGGTGTTTCAAAGTGGGATTTCAGAAACATCATAGACTGCAAAAGTCTCATGGAAATTTCTCTAATTTTTTACTGATTGTTCAATTTTTTACTCCCTGTTCTGTCTTAAAGTTTGAAGAGAAGAAGTCAGAAGCATGATAACAGAGATTCTCCCCACTAATCTGCTTTTTATTGCTCATGTGGAATCTTTATTGCCATGTGGGTGTGTGCTTGTATAGGAAATAAATAACACTGGAATTGGTCTATTGTGAATATGTGGACGATAAATTCTGTGAATGTTTCCAAATTCTTGCATATCTAGCCAGATATATCTGAGCAAGCATTAAGTAACACTTAATGCAGTTCTAACCCCTGTACATTTACTGCAGTATGGAGCCATTACCTTATTTCTCTGAAATTTTCTTCCTTTCGTTAGAGATGTATGAAGTTTCCTCACACCTGTGTCCCCTCTTTTGCCATAGAGAGTGATATAAACATTTGCAAAAGTCCCTGCTCCCCAGCGGTCACCAATATGCACAGAAACAACATACTTATAGACTGTACAAAAAGAAAATAAAAAAAAAAAATAATTAAAGCTGATTAAATACAAGCTATACTTAAAAATAAAACAGCAACACAGACTATTTAGTAAGACTATAGATTTTTTTTATTTCTGCAGCTGCAAAAAAATCTGCTTCATAGTGAATGAAATAACCAGGTTACTCTTTATGAATCTGATCTCTTTGTGCTAAGTTCAATGAAAACTTTCCATTCAGTTTCTTTGAAATTTGAAGGAAATTGGACAGTTTAGACTTATAAATGTAGGCAAATTCTGCCTGATTCTGTTTTATTGTGCAAGATCTAGAAAGTAAGAATTCATTTGAGTTAGTTCAGGAGCTAAACTAAAAACTAATTAAAAACGGAATTATCTTTGAAATAGATAATTAGCACAGGTCAAATAAGGTTATGCAAATTTAAATAAGAACAGTTGCAACATAGCATCTGGATGCATGATATGACATACAAGTATAAAAAATTACAAAATGCACTTATTAACTTAAAGAAGGAAACTATAAAGTCTTTGCCTTTATATTGATTCTGTATGAATGCATTTTCACAGTCCGATCAGATTTTCTTCTGAGGAAGATTATTTAATTGCATATATATTCAGGCTCATACAAAAAGAATAACCAAAATTTTTCAAATGTCATTTTTAATGTACAGTTCTGTGGAGTTAACATTTAACTAATGTAACACTATACTTTCTTTTAAGGTCATTAATAGAGTTGGGTATTCAGGAATCTGAACTTCTGGAACTTTAGTTTAGCAAAGCAGTCATGTCTCTAATTACTTTTATCTCATGTGTAACTGCTAAATTTTCTGAACAAATGCAGGACTTCTGTAAGTCTTCACATTCCAAGGGCATCTCTAAGACCTCTCAGCATGGCAAAAAAAAGTAGTCCTTAGGAAAAAAAACCCCAACCTTTCTGTGCAATAAGCCTTACTTCTGATACTTATATCAGCAAGTGAAGGTATTGTAAACTATGTAATTCAATAGTGACTCTAGAACAAATAATTTCCATGGCTTTGAACATGTTTGTTTCCCTAAAACGTCCAATTGTATTGTTCAGTTTTTCTCATTTAAAATCATGCAGAAGACTTAGCAGCTGTAAAATTCAATATGCAATTTACCTGGAAAATTAAAATATAATTTTCAACATTCTTTCAGTGCATATGTGAAGACAGGTGCAACAGAGCCACTGAAGGTATCAAATCCAGACAAAACACTATATTATATCTGTGGCACTGATATATTTTCAAGCAGTTAATTTACAGTGTTTATGTCTTCTTGGTGTTTTTACCTGGTAAAGTTTTCTGGTCCTCGGTGACTGTGGGGAATTCTTTTACCAGCTCCTTATTCCCTCTCTTAAGAGAGAGCCAGCAGTTACACTCAAAGTTCAGTTCTTGTTTCGTATGCAACTCTTGTAAGTGAAAAGACTTCAGATGCCAGCCTTGAAAGCCTGGCACATCATCACAGCTGACTCGAATCTTGTATACATCTCCCAGATCTCCAGTCTCAACCTGCACCAAATAGCATGAGGAAGAGGGTACTCTCAAGGCTGGTTCACTTAGAAAGATTTTCTCCAATCCCAGCATAGAATTTTTAAACTTAACAGTAAATAATGGAAAAGTTTGAGGCTAGTATAAGTGTGATGATAGAATCAATCATTTTTATTTCATGGTATAATCATGGGTGAGATTATCTCCTTTATTAGTATTGCGAGCATGATACTCTGTAAGCATATATACTGTAATTATGATAACTTTGGAGTGAGTAACAGCTAAAATTAGTAAGATCTGTGCATTTAGGCTATTTAGACAAAAGGTAACACAGAGAGTTGTGACCCTACTAGATAAAGAGAGCATTAATTTACGATTAAAGATTCTAATATCAGCAGCCAAGTGAGGTATTAACTTAAAGATTATTACTATGAGCCTGGAATCACAAAATTTTTTAGGTTGGAAAAGATCTTTAAGATCATCAAGTCCAATCATTAACACAGCACTGCCAAATCCACCAGTAAAACATGTCCCTTAGTGCTACCTCAGCATGTTTGTGAATACCTCCAGGATGGTTACTTGACCACTGCCCTTGTCAGCCTGTCCCAGTGCTTGGCAACCCTACTGGTGAAGAAGTTTTACTAAATTCTCTTTTGACTAGAACATAAAACTACTTTACAACCAATTCTTCATTAAAGGAAAGGTATATTTCTGAATAAAAATAAATAAGTTACAGAAATAACTGTGTAGGACAACACAGCCCTGTTTCCATACTACATGTGGAAATTCAATAACTGGTTGCTGATTGTGGGTAATGATTTGCATGACATTAACCACCGCATGGTAAGTCTCCTGAACAATGGGAAGTAATGTGGCAGCCATGTAATGGGTAGCTACAAGAGAGACAGCATGGGAAGTGATTTCGAGTGAAACAACTGAGAACTAGTAATTTTTAAAGGCAACATTTTTTTTTATTATCAAAATACTTAATAAAAAAAAATGTTGCCAGTGGCTTTGTCCTTCTCCCACATTGATGTTTTTTTTTTTTCCCCACCTCAGTCAAAACATAAGATTTGGTGACTTTCCAGAGAATAAATCCTTTGTGCACCCTATAGCATCACAATAATAAACTGAAATTAGCCTTACACAATCATGCCCTGGCTCTGACAGCACCACCAGCAGATTGGCTCCTAAGACAGAGCACAGACCTAACAGATCGATTTATTTTGCTTCTCAGCAGAGCTCTGAACGTGACAGCCCTTCACTGCTGACCTCTCTTGCTTAAAGCTAGTTCATGTGTATTTGCACAGTGAACACAAGCATGTAGGGAAGTACCAGCTACCTAATTCTAATTAGAGAGGTATTAAAAAAATTTGCTTTGTCATTTTGGGAGAGTTGGAAATAATTTTTAGTATCTGTTATGCACGTAAGAAATAGTAAAATATCAGAGTATGAAGAGGAATAGTTAATTGAAAATAAAACAACCTGCCCAAACCATTTTAGAGGAATTTTATGATGGGTTTATGATGCAGAACTTATGAAAAGAGGCCTTTAGTAGGAAGGAATTGCATTTGATGGATTAAAAGATCCCTTCCAGTCTGAATTTCTTGAGGTATTATAAGTGGTTGCCATGCCACCCCTACACAATTTCATGACTCGGGGCATTGTTCAAGGAGCAGAGAAGAGTTCCTTTCCATTGCCCATATAACAGCCCTGGGCTGCTCAGAGCTCCTGAACTGTAACTCCACAGTACACGAAAAGGCCACACAGCAGTAGTTATACACCAGAAAAGAGGGCACCAGACTTGTCCTCTCTCTAAGCCTAGCCTGCCCTGCCTGTCTCTGTGCCATCGTGCTCACAGAAATCAAAGCTGTCCCTGACTGGGTCTCCAGTCCTGCAGTGTGAAAAGGGAAATAAGTGGGCAGAGTTTCACATCAAGATTTTTCATTCATGCTGTGTATGTTGCAAAGGATATAATTAGCTATGTATCATTAGCTGAGGTGGACTAAGTGGATTAATTCCTTGCAAAATATGCATTCCACCTAATTAAACTTAACAGGAATTATTTGGGTTCATTGAGAGGAGAGTACACAGGTTCTCCACCCATCTAAACTACAATTCTTTCACAGACAACAAAGTAATTGTTTCTTCTCTTTCAGAACCAGACTACTGACTTTTAAAATTATTTCCTGCACATTTTTTTCTCATGCATGGATCTCATGACTATATCACACAGCTACTCCAAATGCTGTGAACAACTTATTCCATAAAGCTCTCTATTTGGGAGTTGCAAAAGTACAGAACTTGGTTAGTTTTATGTGACAGGACAAGCTGTAATTCACATTTTACTTTGTCTTCTGCTACCCTAATTTGCAATTCACTAGGATTCTAAGTTGTCATAAATACATGTGCTATAATCCTTGTAGGAAATGCACAGAGGAGATTTATAGGAAAATAATCCCAAAATACAGGACAGACTATTTAGAAGCCACAATTGTCCTTTTTTTTTCTAGAATCACAATTTCAATTAATTCCCTGACTGCCACGGAACTAGCAAGTACTAATAATCAAACTGTTTATGATCCGTGGAATTAAACACCAGCTATTTTCAAATGAGGGTATTAGATAGTTCCCTGTTTTTCCACTTACAGTTATGGCCAGTATTAGCTTTTTTTGTTCAGATCCATCATTGTACCCCATGCTGCCATTACATTATTCTTGTAATCATTTTCTGATCAGTTTAGTATAAGCAGTTTTCCTTTGGTATATGATATTCTATCTTAGATCCAAAATTGTCTGTTCCTTCACCAATGTCTATTAATGGATGCAACATGAGCTGTGAAGCAGAGACAGACATATAATCAAAGCATATATCCAGTGAATGTCCTTGTTTTAAATTTGTTTTTGCAAGAATATTTGCAAATTTGTTTTTGCAAGAATATTTGCAAGAGGATACTTTACCTCATTCATTATAATTTCCTAATTAATTTTTTCACACTTATTTATTCAGAATAGTTTTCTCTAATATTCAGAACTTGAAATCTTAGCTGAGTTGGCATGATTTGTCACGTACTAAACAACACAATATGTTTTCCATTACATGCCTAAATCTTTAGGAGCCTGGCTCTTAAAATTAGGAGGAGCTACTGTGCTTCAGAGACAGGTAACTGATAAAGATAATTAGAGAATTTCATAACATTTTAAATTTTTTCCTTTTTAACTCACACAGGGCTTCTCAAAGACATTGTGCTTAGGGTAATGAAAGCCTTGTAAATTTTACTGTTTGGGTGCATATTTAAATATGATTCCTTTTCATTCTTTTCTCTGTTAAAAACAAACAAACAAACAAAAAAAAACAAATCACACATGCCCACCCACCCCATAAATTATTCTACTTAATAGGGTTTCATCAAACCTACTAAAATTCAACTGAACAGCCATCTGTCACATACTCCAGAAATTCTTCTGCTTGTTTGGAGAATCATCTCATACTGTGGAATTGGATAATTGTATTATGTGATTTGAAACTTTGTCACCTTTTTGATCCTTAATGCAAAATACATTCAGAATTTATCATGTATTTACCAACAGTCCTACTTGAAGAGCACTATTGCTCATTTTGTACTACCCATGCTAGTGTTTTGGACAACAGTTTTGGACATCCTAATCTCACACTCTGTGCCATGTATTTTAAAATTCTCTGGAGAACAGAACGTGTTCGATACAGCAGGACCTTCCAAATACATACTCTGACAAAATCACTCTGCTAGCAGCCAAGAAACAAAGATAACTGTGAGAAAGACCCATATACTTTACAAATCTATTCATTCCATGTGAGATCAATGATTGATTCCAATCATCACCAGACTACCAAGGAAAAAATTTTACCTCTTCACTGGTTTCTTGCCATGCTGCCCTCAGTGCTACAACTCCTGTCAGATTTCATAACATTGATGCAATCACCAATTTTTAAATTTATTTTTTAAAACTAAAAATAATTAAATTAATTATTTTAATGTTCTAATTAAATTAATTATTTTTTAAGCAGCTCAACTACCATACTACACATTTTTGAGACTACCAAAACCCAACTGTACCTAAGAGAATGCATCTATTTTCTCTCTTTTAATTTATTCTTTATGCTTGCTATGTGCAATTAAACTACACCTGTTCTTTCATAGGAGTACATTTGGCATATTTTGGATGGAAAAATCATGCTGAATATGATACACATCTGTGCATATACTTATGTAAGAACACCTGGAAAATCAGGAATTTGCATGCCTTTCTGTCCTCAATGTGCAATAAATGTCTCTCTGAGATCAAAACTTAAGCTTACTGTTTCAAAACTATGAGAGCTGCTTATAGCATATAACCTGTTGTTCTTTTTACTGCACTATATTATTAAGGATGTTTGTCTAGAGCCAGGATCTTGGGGGAAGGTTAAAAGTTCATTTATTCATGCTTTTTGGAAAGCTGAATTCACGGCTTGTCCTCGTGATATCATGTTCATGCCTCCAGCCTGCTGCTACAGTGAGAAAACAAAAGTGAAGTTTCTGCATTCTTCTGCATAGTCTTAGTAAGAAAAAGAAAGGGAAAGCAAAACAAAACTGGGTTCATTGTCTCAAGCACCTAAAGAGGTATGAAGGTGTTTATGGAGATACCTATGAATCCCTAAATGCCCCTTTATACCAGAAGTGCTGTTCTATAAGCTGCACTGTAAGCAATGCAACAAAGAGATAAAATGTCACATACAGTAAATAATGCTCAAATAGTACTAACTTCTTCATACAAAGCAATAAAAACAAGGACACAAATAGCTGTGGGGAAAATACAGGCACTAACCCAAAGTCTATCCAAAGTATGAACAAGCATTCAGAAAGCTGCTGGAGTGGAAGGCTACAACCCATAATGTACCAAGGATAGTAGACTATGAGAGACAACCACAACTGACACACAGAAATAGTAATTTCTCCTAGTGTAATACCCAATCATTGAAATTAGGCAGCCTTAACAAAGAATACGTGCCACATGGGAAATTACCAACATGCTGGATGTAGCAGCATCACTGCTTTATGCAATGATGCTTGCCAAAATTCAGTCAGCTGGTGCTCCTGCTCCATAGATAGATTCTGCCTCTACTGACCTCTTCAGTTTATGTTCATGGCATAGGATAGGAAACTTGTTTTGTTGCTCAGTGTGTTTCCTGTGTGTTTTCTGATAAGCAGCTGTTTCCTTGTCCTTAAGAAGTGCCATTTATCTTTTCATTTACTCCCCATAAAGTTCCTAAATTGCTTTAGCTTGTTATTTAAACTAAAAATTCAGCCTGGATCAGGTCATTACAATGAGGCTTCGACATAATTTTCTAAATGTAGCTTTTCCATTGTTTTCAGAATGTTCATTGTAGCCATTGAAAAGTCTTTCTGAGCTGTATAAAACTGCCTCAAATTGCAAGCTATTTCTCCCATCTTGTTGGCTAGAAGCTGTACTTCATGACAATCAACAGAATTTGCAATGACTTTGCCTATAAAGCCAGGACAGAATTTGAAGATTAAAAGGGTGCCTCAAATGAATCCTCTCAAATCATCAGCATGTGTGTCAGGTGTATGAATGGTCAGGATGGTTAGAGTTGATTTTAGTACTGGCCATATATAAGCTATTGCTTCAGAGTTCACCACACTTTGATATGCATGAATGCATTCTCCAGTGATTTGTGATTATACAGAAAAATCCTCTGCCTGCTGGCCTGAGAGACAGAACAATCCTGTGGAGAGTGGATACTACTTTAAAAAGATGGAAATGAAGGAAAGAAAAACCCACTTATGTCCCCTGGGAGTGCTGCCCAATCCTTCATCTTTGCATTCACAAATAATTGTATATTGCCTTTTGTATGAACTTCAACTCAAAAATCTTCAGGGAATTAGAAAAAAAATGCAAGATGAGCTGGTGAATGCAATAAATTCCACAAAAGAATCCATGGAGGTGGCTGTAGTAGAACAGGACTAACAGTAGGAGATGACCCAAGACCTATACTTACGTCATTTCATCTTTGTAAATAATTACATCATTTTTTTAGCAGAAAAATCAACAGTATATATATAATGCTAGTTATATATACACACACACACACACATATACATATATACATATATCTATATCATTATCTATATTTATATTGTAGAGGGCAATGTCATGATAAATTCTTTGCAGTACTGCATATTTCTGACTTACAATGAATTCATCAGTTGCTCTGGGGAGAAAGCACACATATCCTGGGGTTTGTGGAGAAAGCAGAAGCTCATCACTTTTGCCCTTTGAGCCATAAATCACAAGGGTCCTTTTACATTCCTGTGGCTCTGGGGAATCTCCATCTGTTTTAACCCACACTCTCCACCATTGTGCTAAAACAGGAAAAACATTTTTAGCATCAATCTACCAATTAAACATTTTTAGAATCAATAGTAGAGAGCAATGAATGTTGTTACTATCACAAATAAGAGTTATAGATTAGAGTTATGAGTTTACATCCCATTTACTATTAATTAAAAAATCTCTTGAAGTATAGCTCAGACTTGATAAACACAAGACAATTGTTGAAGTGGGTATGAAAACAGAAATTACTACATAGGAAGCAGAAAAAAGACACTTTGCCTAGGGGTGTTTTTTGCATTCTCTGTATCAAAATACTTTAATTACAGTAAATATTTTAATAAATTTCAGTTCTTAGAATGTTCTTATGTAACATGTAAAGAATATTAATCTTTTGAAAGACTTCTATGTGGTACATTTGTGAGGTCTGCTGGCTAATACATAACTATCTAAACAATGAAACGTCAACTTCTTTTTCTCAGATTTTTCTAACATAATTTGTCATGTACAGTCTGCTCAGATCACTCATTAGGGGTTGAATACAAAATTCAGGAAATTTTGACGAGATATTTGCACTGACCTCACCTCATGGCTTGAGCCTTTTAAAGGTTGTTTTTTGGTAAGTCACCTGTACTCCTAACAGTGTTAGAAGTCCACTATGCAACTGGGAAGCTGCTCCAGGTGTGGGGGAAATACAGTGTCTTAGAAGGATAGTATAGTTTAGGAAGCTACTTAAGTGCTTGAAGGTAAATCATCCTCTGAAAACAAAGGTATTATTTGTTGAAATGACACTTGATCCTGAATGGCAAGAGGAACTTAACAATGAAAGTAAATTAAAAGCTTTTGTTTAGACTGTGGCTAATATTTTAATAATAAAATCGTTTGCTAATAGGACTAATATAAAGAGAACTATTTTGTGATTATGTGTAATCCCACAATACAATATGCTGATAAAATGAATTTTAGAATAATTTAATTCAGAAATAAATCGGATGTGACTTTTTCTTACAGAACTGTGTGCTATTTTCCTACCTTTTGTTTTCCTCTGCCTGCTTAAAGATGGAGACTAGATGAAAACCTGATCTGGTTTCCTTGATTTATAATTTTCCTCTTTTTTCTTTTTTTTTTTTTTTTTTTTTTTAGCTAATCCTGGGTTTTTTTTCTCTTGTTATGGAACCTGTTTCTGCCTTACATCTTACTGTTCCCTGACTCTTCTGGGCTCAGCTAGAAAACAGCAGGCAAATACTCATCTCACAGCCAGTCTTCTGAGTAACACACTAGCTGAAAGGATCCCTCCATCTGAATTCTTTTTTTAAGGTCATTTCCAGCAATGAGTCAGATGTAGTGTGTGGAAGATCCACACTTTGCCTAATGAGGAACTTTTGCTGTTTGATATATGTGCCAGCTTTGAATTTTATCTCCTTGTGCCAGGTTGGCATGTGGTACTCTTCAGGGTGTCACACTTGGTGAAGTCAGGCATTGTTTGAGCTTTTGCTGATCCTGAGCACTCCAAGGGTTTATGAGGAGCTTCAAATTTTTACAAAGACTCCCAGCATAGCCCTGAATCTCTTATCCTGTCCAACCATGCTCCATTTTGAAGGCTGTCGCAGGAACACAGCAGAGGGGAAATTAAGATAATTTTGCAGTTCTGTATTTCTCAAGTGGAGCTTTTTTTTTTTTCTCTTTGTACTATCCCTCTGCTCCAGGAGAGATCAAGCCCTAACTTAAGAGAAATCACAGAGGCATAACTGGTTGTTTCCCTCCTCAAAGAGGTAGCATGTTCAGAGAAGGTATTTCGAGCAAGGTGATTTATTTTAATTAATATCCATTATTGTATTTTTAATTATTATTTTAGTAGGAAGGCTAAGACACCAGTTAGGAGTTTTCCAGGGAATAAATCAATGGTTACAGATTTAAGGTCTCTTAGTGTCTGTGATTCTTTATTGTCCTACACTTACTTCTAATGCTTCTACAGATTATTAAATGAACTATCAGAGACTGACTGCATTTTCTCTCTGTTCAACAAATTCATTTAACCTGCTCATGCCAGAAGAATCAAAAAATCCTTTGTCTAATATTCTATTCACTTAGACATCTATTTGGTGAGGATGGCTACATGAGACAGAAAACTGATGCCAAGTATTTATTGTGTTCAGTGATTTCTATACCTCCCCAGGAGTGAAGTTGTGGAAGTGAGACAGCTGGGCTTCAATAGGTCTTTTTTCTGTGTTTCATCTGTGTGGCACATTAAAAAAGACTTTTCCCCAGATATCACTGACCTCTGTTAACTTCCTTTCAGAGTGATCATTGTGTTCATGTGTTATTGTACTTCTACAACTTATGTGTAAAGCTAGAGCCATTTACTTTGAGGCATCAATGTAGGAAGCACTAAAATGAATAGTAGAGGAAAAAACAGAACTCTGGGGAAAAAAAAGGTCTCAGAATTCTCTCTTTACTATAATGATATAACCAAGAATCTGATTCACATTACAGAGATTTATCCAGATATATGTTAGAATTAGGGATCATTTCTTGACTTTCAGAAATTAAATGGGATCAGTATAACAATTTCCAGTCAGAAATTCCTTTAACCACCACTCTGGAACCTGAAAGTTCCTTCAGTAAAACCATGAAAATCAAACCCACAATGATTTCTGTACATAGAAATCTGAGCATGACAAAACCTGAAGTCAACATTTCATCATATAATTCAGAAAGCTGAAAAAGGAAGGTTTATTTTCTAGGTTTTTTAAAATATGAGTTATTTATATATCTTTTAAGGATTTCCAAAACTGTTTTTACAATACACTATTTCAGGGGTTTTTTCACTCTGGTGTTTTTTGGTCTTAAGACCTAGAATGACATTCACACTTTGCAAGATGTAGGAGTTGGTTGCTAATTTCCTGAAGATTGTAGAAATTTGTGTTGCCTGGAGGCAGAGCAGTCAGTCTGCTGAATTCTTTTTCTTAAGGATTTCCGCCTCCATCTGGCAGTGGAAACACTTTGCTGTTCTTGCTTTTTAGAAGCAGGTCCATTTCCTTTAAATTTGGGAATCCTGTGATTATGCTTAGTCCATTATCCACTACTTTCAAGGTAGGGAATAATTCTAAAACAAAATTAGTCACAGCAGAATTTACTGAATATTTTCTCCTTTGATACAAATTTTCTATAAGCCTTAATACCAAAAACCTTGCACAACAGAAGAGCCAATCGAGAAATATCTATTAACCATACTCTGCTAGTGAACTACACTTTATTTACCATCCACAAAACCTTAGGACACCCTACAGACATCACATTACAAGAAGCCAGCTCCTTTTAGCTGACTGCAGTGAGGATTTCATTGGAACATACTGTGTCTTGTCTCCTTGCTTTGAGAGAAAATTCTTTCCTATGTGCTATTATGATACCTCATCTATTTTGAAGCAGAAAAGGAAAATAAATAGAGAAAACAGAAGGAAAAAGCACTAAAATATCCCTACCGTGTAGGAAACTTTTAGAAAGTAACAGAAAGTCCCATTCAAATCAACTTCTTTTGAGAGCTGAGAGCATCTATCTGCCCTCTCAACCAGGGCAATACACTTTCTCTATCTTGCATCAAATATATGAGGAGGATTCAGAGGCATACAAATAAATCTATTCCTACGCTGATTTGCCAGAGCCTCTCTGTAATGTATAAATGTACAAAGGTTACTGAGAAAACTTGATATGGGCAGACTGGATTTTGGCAGATTCCATAGCCAGCAGCAGCAGGCACAGCAATCTGGGATTTATGCTTCATTAGAGCTGGCATAATGTCAGCCTGACTGAAAAAGGACAAAGAGCCCTCAAGTAACCTACCTAGCTATCATGACTTTCAAAGTTTCCTCTTTGGCTAGGTGGTTGAACAGGTTACTAGCCTCATCCAAAGTGAATGAGATTTCTGAGTCACCTTCAGAGTGACTTATAATTTGTTCTGTATTTGGTGCTTTAAACTTGACCTAAGCACATTGATCTTACCCTGAAAATCAGCAAACACTGAATTATGCCAATCAGCTTTTTATGACTTTTCCTGAAGCCCGTTTACAGAGGGCAGCTCATACAGAATATGACCACATGAGTGCCTAAAACATTGGCTTCCTAACATCAGAACTTCCACTTGCCTCTTATTCAGTAGATATACATTACATGGAAAGTTTTCACCCCCACTCTGAAGGGGATTGCTTTTCACTATTCTACCATGTAGAATCTTCACTGGTACAGGTGCTAGGAAAATCTAAGGAAATTATTTTTTCTCCCAGGACTCTGCATCTCTGGAATGTTGTCTTACCAGCTCTGACACTGGCACCAAGTCCTGATAGAAAGACACAGAACTGACTAGAGGATATCTTTCCAAACCTCTTGTGCTTGTTCCCTCCTACAAAGCTCAATCATGCAAGGTCTATGAGACCACTGATATGACAACACAAATTAAACTGTGAAAAATCAGTCCCAGCCACCATCTTTTTCACATAAGGCATAAAAGTCCAACCTCCAACCTATCTCAGTTCCTCACTGGAGTGAGCCCATGGGTAAAACAAAGATGGCTGAAGAGCAGCACAAGCTAAGCTGTCATACAGCTGACAGATAAAACTGTTCTTCTCTTTTATAACCTCTTTTTTCAGAAGCTCTGATCTCAATGGTGTCTGGGTCCTCCTGGACATCTTGAGAGTGTGACATTTCAAAAGCTGGTTAAGGATAGGTCACTCTCTCCTCATAATCAATACACTGAGTCTGATCACTCTTGATGCTCACAGGCAATGAGCAGCCTGTGCGTCTGTGCCTGCTTACTATAACATAAAGAAAAATGAAACTGTGCTGGAAAAAAATTTTGAATTAGTAGTAAAATATAGTCTATTTTCTGAACATAAGGTGAAACAGATATTATGGTTGTTTCTCAGAAGTGTGCACTTAGCAGAATGCAGAATCCAATTGCAAGTCACTTGTGAAAATCAACTTTCTCTGTGAGAAAGTCTTTACCTGAGTTCATCACTCTCCTCTTGTCAAAGTCATGTTATTGAGGAATAATAAAGCTGTTGACTAAACTGTTTGATTGAATGCAAAAGATTCAATTTTTGCTGAAACTGGAACTAGTTTGAGAGACTAGGACTTATCCTACAGTAAGCAAGTCACTGCTGTAAGAGACAAATGGAAACACTACTTTTTTTAGTTTAGTTGTTCCCATTCAATTCCCAGACAGAGTTGTACAGAATAGCCATTTACAGTTAAATGTTCAGTAAAAATACATGCGCCAGTCTGTTTCTCTTTTCTGGTTAAGAAGACACATGGAGATGGTAAGTAGTGCATTACAGGGATGAGACTGTAGATGTAAAAACAGCTGGGTGGGGAGTTTTTCAATAATGTCTTTTTATTAATTCGAGCAAATTTAGCCAATTGAATGCACATAGTACATTTATCTTTGCTGGAGGATTTGAAGTTTAAACTTGCATTATTTCTGGCTACTTTGGAATTTTGACCTGAAAATGTTTCACTGACACTTCACAACATATTTTTCAACTTGCTGACGTTTGCTAGGGGACCTGTCCCCAAGTATTAAATGACAGTGACATTGGGGTAAACAAAGAACACTTGAATCTCTTCTCAGAGGAATTCCTGCTTGATTTCAGAACAGAATAGTAGAAGTAGGAAGAAAACCAGAAATGGTTTATGTTTTTTCTCAATTGCTTCTAAAGGTCTAGTCCTCCCTGTAAGACTATTGCCAGCCAATTTGTCATGTTCTCTCACAGCTGATATACAAGAAAACACACATACAAATGAGGTAATTTGCTCACACATTTCTTGCAATAATGATTTAAATTCAAACAGCAAAAATTATGGTATAGAAAACAATGGCTGGAAAGCAACTCTTACCTTTAAGAAATGACTTCATTGAACTGCCATGCTCTAAAATATGAACCGGAAAAATAATTGTGAGCTAGCTTCATTATTACTTTTTTCTTAAGTTATGGTCTTATCTGGAAGGGTTCTTTAGTAATAACTAGGCATTAAGTATATACTGTAGTGCTATAATTAGTGTTAAATTTTCTTTAACAAAATACTTACTATTGGCAGTTAGCTCCCTCTCTGTTTTCCCATCATCTTGATATTCATCTAACCATCTTTCATTGCAAAAACAAAAATAATAATATTAATAAAAACTATTAGTATAGTATATATCATCTGACCATTACCTTTTGTCTCCAATAGTATTTTTATACACCTTTTATCAAGTTCCACCTTAAAACTACTTCCAAGATCAAATATTCTTTTATACCTTCAGCACAGTTGGCCTTATTCATATAAGAAGAATTTGGTTCAATTTGCTCCAGGCAAATAAGAATTTTCATGGTAGCTGTATGAAGTGAGTAGTACTGTATGGAGTACATTGTACGAAATACTAATTATTTATTGGTTCAGAGGCTCAGCTGTACATATCAGGGTTATAGCAGTGGTTACTTATAGTTATTGTACTTAGAATTATATACGAAACCTGTAGGTCTGGAAGTTTCTAAAACTTGCAGATCTGCAGCAGCAAACTGAACTTCTGTTCTTACTTTATTTTCTTTTATACTGATGAATTCAAGGAGCTGTTCTGCAATATCATTTCACTGCAAACATACATTCATACTCCTTTCAGTTGAACCCTCTTATTCACATAGTATTTCCCAATCTTCAACAACCTCACTTATTTAAAAATAAACAAATACGTGCTCACTATCAGGTTCTATTCTATTGACTCCATGTTGATGTTGTATTTGTTTAAACTCAAGGATCCATAACACATTTCATTTCTTGTATTCATTCACTCTATGAATAAATCTCTTATGCATGAAGTCTAAACTCCACTGTATTTCAATTTTTTTGCAATAAATAGCTTGATTAACTTTTGAGACCTATCTCCTCATTCCATCCTAAGAAACAAAAGATCACTAGCAGTTTCTAAAAGTAGAAAGCAATTGTTGACAAAAACTGGATGCAGGATTTGAGATGCAGCCTCACCAGTGCTGAGTGCAGGGGGGAAACACGGCCTTTGGTGTATGCTTCTGCTGATCCAAGCCAGGCTGCCATTGGCCTTCTTGCTCACCTGGGCACACACTGGCTCGTGTTCAGCTGCCTGTTGGCCAGCACTCCCAGACAGCTTTCCAGCCACTCATCCCCAAGTCTACAGCACTGCATGGGGCTGTTGTGACCCAATGCATCTCCCTCAGTACCCTTGTGTGGATCACTTCCAGCCCAATAGTCTTGTCTGAGTGCTGCAGCAGGCCACTGACTCCTTCTGCTTGGATTGTGGGGTTCATTCTGCCTCCCACTTCTTTCTTCTAGCTCAGGGGGCTGGCTACGAGGAGAACTGATAATACTATTGAAGACTGAGGGGAAGAAGGCATTAAGTGGCTCAATCTTTCCTTCATCCAGTGGGTATTTTCTGTACTTGGCTACCTCATGAACTGTGTCAGGAGGTTCTTTTCCGTGGACTCCAGGAACCTCCTAAACTCCTTCTCCTCTGCTGCATTGTATTTGTAGTCCCTCACAAGAAAACAGCTGGTGATTGTGAGATTTCTTGCAGCTGCTCACATTAAATTTTGACTGCCTCTTCCTTCTGGCTGGCTGGTCTGTAAACCTAGACCGTTCTACCATGGCACTGGCCTTGCTGGCCTTTTCCCTGATTCTTACCCATAAACGCCCAACTCTATCATCACCATCATCAAGCTCTGGAAAATCAAAATACTCCCTAACATACAGGGCTGCCTCACCTCCTCTCCTTCCTTGCCTCTCCCCGCTGAAGAGTTTATAGTCAACCATGGCAGCACTGCAACTGTGCAAGTTATGCCACAATGACAACTATGTCATTTCCACAACATCTTTCCACAATGACACCTATGTCATTTCAGATCTTTCCACACAATATTTCTTAAAAGGTTGAGAACTGAAAACTTATTTAATATCACAAGCTTTCTATATAATTTAGATTAAAAAAATATCATGCACCTTTCCTCTTATGCAACATTAAAGATCATGCACCTTTCCTCTTATGCAACATTTGGTTTGGGATTTCTCTGCATTAGGCTATTACTCACTTCCATGCCAATATAGGAACTTTTTCCTAGTCTTCAGCTACAAAATTTTGCACCACTTATATGTTGAAAAACTCCAAGGCATTGTTCAAACATCTAGTTTGTGTGCACATATCTGCCCTAAAATTTTTTCATTACGTTGCTGGCAGGTAAGAAATTCTTTTTCTCCATGAATGACATACCTATTACAAGGAAATACAACCTCGTGAGCTTCCTCTCCTTCTTTATATTTGATGACAATCTTATCCAGGAACCATCCACTGCCTGTGTTGAAATGACAAAAGTTTATAATGTGAAATCATACTATTTTTAAAATAAATTTTAAGAAAAAAAGCCCAGATTATCTTTTTCTCGTAGAAAAATAGACCATATTTAGACAGATCTCATCTGAATAAATAAGATGTATTAACAGAATGAAAGTTTTATTATTTTTTATCTCTCCTAAGAGATGCAATTTTTTTCTGCCTTTGCCTGTTTTAATTTTAAGAGGGGTGTTTTTTTTCCCTTGGAGACAAATACATGCATACATCTCTGAACTGTCAACACCATTCACATCCCAGCCTACATCTTTTGATTATTCCCTGTAATCAGGCACAAGGATGTTGGGACCAATATGTTTATGCCCATAATCAAGATTTGTGTGAAAGCTGGAAATTTTTGTCCTCTGTGAGGGAACTTCTTATTGCATATATAAAAAATATTAATTAACAAATCTTTAAAATGAATGCTCTCCTGTGCCAATGGAGTGGGGCTGCAGGCTTGGAGGGGTGTTTTTCGCTTGGTGCTGGTAACTGGCAAAACTGAGGATCCAGAGCCAGCAGCCAGAAAGACTAACTGCCTAAGGCCAGCTACTGGAGGCCTTATACATCCATCCTGTACATATTTTTTTTTATTTGACATTGATGGATTGTTGTTCTGCTCAACTGGAGAGGGTAACAGAGGAAGGCCACTTGTACTGTTTGTGTACGTGCTGAGTTCCTGACTGTGTTGGTTTGCATGGCCAGCTATGTGCACATGTCTGTGTTTTAGAAATGTGTTTGCGTGCATGTCAACTGGGAACACACACTCAGCCTTGCTACTATGAGACCAGCAGGCATGGGGCTGTGCAGTCTCACTTCTGCTGGATGACTGAATTCATCTTTTCTCTAACTGCAGTAACTGCTGCACATCCATGCTGATCTTTTAGATCACTTCCAATAACCATCCTAGTGACTGGTTTTGTTGTCCTACGATGCCCTTCTCAAATACCCTGATCTCACTGTATCTGGACCACTCACAACTTATCATATTGCTTACAAGGTTTTACCCAGCTCATACCATTGCAGCAAAATGGCATGCAGGATGTTTTGGTCAGAAACAATCATCATATTTATCCTTATGCTTTGAATCCTGGCAACATCTGAGTCTGGAAGTCCTTAGAATGCAGCAGTTTTTGTCACATAGAATGGGCATCCCCAGGTAGTGCATGGAGCAAACCCTGCTCTTTAGGACAAAACTTCTTTACTCTCCTCATTCACAATAGCTGTGGGAGTAGATCTGTGCCCTGCAGCATGGGAGCCCCAAAGAAAACATATGTTTCTAGGATCCTTTCAAGACAGACGCCAAATCAAGAATTAAGACCTTCCTGCCCTGTCACTCAGGCAAATGATGAGAAAAAGGGGTACTCCACCTCTGAAGGAATCCTCCCTCCTCCTTCTCAACCCCCAAAAGGTTGAGTCTCTCTGAGCCACCATCTTTTTCCAGCTTTCAACCCTTCAGCCACCTCAGACTAGGCTTATGTGGGGCTAGTCTTGGATGCAGTTCAAAAGATGTCTGTGAGATCTGTCCGTGCAGAGCACAATTAAAAACCTTCTGAATTGCCAAGGCATGCATTTTGTTACAGATAGAATTCAATCCATTGTACTGTATAGAAAGTCCTTCAAACCCATATATATGACCTCCAATGTCAAAAATCATCTTGAGATAGCTGAATTGGGTTTCAGATTTTTAATGCTGATCCTGCTAATCTGTGCTGCCTGTTAAAGGAGATATCAGGGAAGAGAGCATGGCATGGTGCTGTGGGGAACAGAGGGGAGGTGGGCTACACCACAGTGCCACTTGGGTTATGCCTTGGGTTACTACAATGTGAAACTTTCAGGTGCACCATCACTCCTATGTTGAAAAACTCCAGGGCATTGTTCAAACATCTAGTTTGTGTGCACATATCTGCTCTAAAATTTTTGCTGAAGGCAGCAAACTCTATGGAACTACAGGAAACAAGATTACACACATTCCAAGGCTGCACTGTTATGGCTGTTTCTGGAACAGTCACACACTTGCTCAGAGCCTTGGGCAGTACAGACAGCAAGATTGGTGTTGCTTGGGGCCATTTCAGAACAGAGTAAAAGGGCTTTTCCAATCTGTTATCAGTGGAGCCTTGAACTGCCTAAAAATCCTCCTCTTCACTTAGCTTCTTCCTAGATATTAATCTGCAAGCATATTTGCAGTATTTACATCTTTGGTGCTTTTAAATGCTAGCTTTCTCTTCATTTACTTCATTCCAGGGAGATGTACCCTTCTTTGAGAGCCTGTACCCAAAATTCAACTCATTACCAAATTCTTTCTTCTTTCCTCAAAAACCTACAAGGTTAATGCAATGTGACTCACTGGAACACCTCCACATGGACTTTCACAGATCAAATATATAATCAGATCTTCTACAAATGCCCAAAACAGCAAAGACCTTGTGTTATAGCTACCCAAATTTTGTCAGGTAGAAAATCAGCTGCTGAATATCTTTGATTCCTTCCTGGACAATTTTCACTGTCTGTCTGGTGAAAGATTGTCTTACCAGTGTGAGACACACTTTTGAGAGTTTTCTACATGCAAATAAACAATGCTTTCTTATAAATAACCATGAAAACAGAGAGCAGAATAACAGTATATGACATTAAACTCATGCCCTTTTTTCTGTCCATTACCACAGTTTTTCATGATCCCATCACAGTGATCAAACTGCAGGAAGACTTTTTATCACTGCAAGACCTTCTGTCACATTTTCTATGAAGCATATAACATAAACAAGTGCATTGGGTTTAAAAAGCTCTTGAAAACAGATTAGTCTCTAGGAAATTAAATCTTACCTGGACCAGTTCCATCATGGCTAATCAGAACTCTCTCCAAGTCTCCCAGTGAGACAGCTTTTATGCAGAAAATATCCATCTGTGGAATCATACAAGGAAAGTTATAAGAGTCTAAAACATAGCTACTGCTTTGACTCTAACAGTATAAAAAAGCTTTTTTGTAATATTTTTTTTGTTTGTTTGTTTTCAAAATTAATATGGTTGTTTTATATTCATCCTGGCCAAACAGGGAGGATCCTTTAAAACTTTCTAAGGTAAATAACACCTGAAAATTACTCCACAGGGACAGCACCGATACCTTTGGCATGACACAATGATCAATTTCAATTACTTGGTTGTGTCTACATTATATTTTCCAGCCCTGTGTGCCTCACCAAGTTTGGAAAACATACTCAGGAATACAGAATAGAACCTGTTTCTCAAATGAACAGATCTGTTCAGCACAACAAAAATGATATTGTTATAATGTTATCTATATGTACAATACAAATAACCAAAATATCCAAATTCTAATATCTAAAGCTCTCAGTAAATGGTTGATTAAGCAGATAAAAATTATCCATATGATGCAATTATGTAAGTAATTATGAATAAAGAAAGCAGCCAATGCTTGAATAAACCTTGTAAATAAAAAGATATTTACATTTCTTGACAAGCACATTTTCTAGCCATAATTTAGTCTTATTTATCAGAAGCAACATTGTTTTTAGTTCACCTGTCCATGTCGAAACTTAATTTTATTATTCTTAGACCTATGGAGCTTCCTTTTGCCAGCATCTCCTCTTGTCCCAATGAGGTTGATATAAACATTGGAATCTGTTTCAGCACCAACTTTAGCACCAGTGTATACATGGACCTCATACACCAACACTACAAGAAAAAAAACTTGAGATTATCCTTGCAGCTTGCACAAGATTCTAAAGTTTCCTCTACAAAAATTTTCCAGAAAAATCTACCGATTTTCAAGTTTGCAAGTAGCAACAACTATCCATGAATTTGTAGCTTCTAGGTTCAAATCTTTTAATTATCTTCACAAAAATATAATAACACCAAGCTTAAGAGAACGCCATTATGCTGAGCATTGCTGTGCATTGCTGGTACACAAAATCTTTCTTTGCAGTTCATTGGGAGACCACCTAATATATCGAGTCGACATCTGAAATTAAAGCTCCTTTTCACCAGTACTGAAGGATTTTCAACCTCCAGATTTATGCAAAACAATTATCTGGGTTGTTAAACTTCATTTCATCTTAAAAGAGGTTTTAGATTTTCACCCCATGTACAAGCAGATGAGCATCTCCTACACCTATAAAAAATGAACCTTGTTTTTGAAGGTTTCTACGTCTGTCACTAGTGAATGATAGGACTTCCAAAACAGCTCTCAGTTAAAATTTATTTACAACTTTTAAACACCTCTCCTTATAATCTAGACCAAAGTCTTACACACAAAAAATATATACATCTTCAAAGAATTCTGCAATAGAATATAGAATATAGAATATAGAATATAGAATATAGAATATAGAATATAGAATATAGAATATAGAATATAGAATATAGAATATAGAATATAGAATATAGAATATAATATAGTAGGAATTAATGTATTAAGATGTTCTATGCCACACTAATATTATTTTTTTAACTATCCAGATATGCAAATTCATTTTTAAAAAATTCTTTGCAGTGATCATATGCTATTATGTTTAATTTCAGGTTTTTTTCTCTGTGATTTTTAAAATAAATTTCCTGTTTACATTTTAATGGCAATTTTTCCATGCAGTGTTTCTATTCTAATCACAGCTGGCCATTTCTGCTGCTATGTAGTAGATCACAGAGAAGATTACTGTTTCATTTATGCATAATTTGAACAGTTCTTGGGAGCAAAGAAAGGTAATACAAGTCCTAACAAACAGAATTAGTTCAAGAAGAAACAAAGATGAAAACAATATAACAAAATGCTTGAAACTGGACAACACTCTACAAAAACTAGTTAAAATAGTGTTACCTTTACACCACCAGATAGCTACTAGAATATGACATTTCCATACATTTTTTATTCACTGGCTCCCAAGTCAGCTTATAAAACTCAAACATCATGTTGTCCACCATCACTGAAAAACAGCTACTCCTGATTCCCAGATGAGAAGCTAAACAAGTAGTAAAATAATACTGCAAATACTTGAGGGAGAAAAATAGCACCACATGTATTAAAAGATAGGAGAAATGTTATGGATAGACTTTATGCTTAATCAAATTCAGGTACTTATTTTAATCTATGTAAAATTATCTGAAAACACTGTGTCTCCAACTCCTTATCACTATTATGACTGCGACTCTAAATAGAAGTGGTGTTCCTTGACCAATTATATTATTTTCTGTAATTCCAAGCACTCATTGCAGCTCTCACATCCATGCATTAATGTACCAACACTGCTTGTGAAATATAAATGATCTCAATAATTCACACATATCCTTAAAAATTTGAAGAGCCTTATAAAAGTTGTTTCAAGGTTTTTAACATCAAAAAATCATGATAAAACAAATTGTAGATATGAATAGCAAGTAGCAAAGATAAATTTATCTGATAATTAGCATAATTGAGCTATATATCCAAATTACATTTTATATCATAACTGCTAATATAATCATAGCTAGCCAAAGGGCAGAGGATAAGGGATGGTAGCAAACTATGACAGAAAATGTGCAGCAAAGCAAAGAGCCATGCTGATCATTAAGGGGAAAAATCTTAGGAGTGAAAAAGGAGAAAGATTACATTTCCAAAAAAAAAAGCTAAAAATTATCATAATCTGTGACCAGATATTTTAATAACAGGGCTGCACTAACCATGAAGCAAGATGCTGCAGGTAGTAAAAAAAGGGATATATTGACTAGAAGTCTCCTCCACACTTTTACACTCTTACTTACTTTCTTAGTTTTAAAAATGCAAAATATCTGTGGGAGTAAATGGAAGGGTATAGAGTGTTTATGTTATGACTGTTTGTATAGAAAGACCAGTATTACTTACAACTGCAAGTAATTTCCATCATCAAAAATAAAAAATTTAAGTAACTATAAGCACAATTTTAAAGCATATTCAAAGGTTTCTTTTTAAGAAACCATTTAACAATAATTGTTTACAAAAACAAAATACCAACAAGTCCTTTCTTCCATGGAAGGAGAAGAGAACAAGAGGTATTTATAACACAACACAAAGATATTAACAGATAAATAAATTATACTACGTTTTGTAGCACTGTGAATCTCTGTGGTAACCAGAGAGACAATAATGATCTAATCATTAAACAGAGCTTTCCTTTGCTATCAGCCTAAATAAATCAGTCTGAAGTAGACAGCATTCACATCTTGAAATGTAGAAAACTGGAAAATATTTTCTATAATATTATAGAAATAATATTATAAATAAATTATATTTATAATATTATAAAAAAAATATTATAAATAGTTTCTTGCATCTATACATCCCTCACCATCTGTAAAATGTTAGGTCTGATATTTATTTAAGCTACACAATCTGCATTATTTATACAGGAACCTTCTTAACAAAATAGACCAGTTTGTGCTCTAAATTTTTCTACAAATATAGGCTACTGCAATACAGGCTATTATATTAGGATAATAAAAGGAATGTTTATACCCCTTAACTTGAGTATATGTTACAATATATTTCATAGGAATCACACAAAAAATGAAGCAGGGAAAATAGTCTCCAAAGCACACACGCCTAATTAGAACATGGCAAACATGGCCACTATGGTGAAACACCTGCACATTCAAATAAACATTTACTAAATAGATTGTGGACATTAAGCCTTTTCTGTGCAAATGGAAAACTAGGCACAGACCAGCCTGAGAGGATTCAAATTGCTGAAGTTTTATCAAGCAGTTCCTCTAGATTGCAGAACAGCCACAAAAGATGCTGGTGCCAATGACTCCTGAGCTAAAGATTGCTTAAAGAAAAGAAAAAGAGAGATGGTGCCACTCTGTAACAGATAAAACAAGGTAAACCAATTGTTTGATGGGACAATACAAGCAGAACAAACCTACTCATTGAATGTACTGCTGAGACAAAAAGACTCACCATATGTGAATTTTTTTCCATTTGCAGTTTTCTGTATATTGTTCACAAAACACAGTTTGTTGTTTAGAGAGTAAAGTGAAATAATCCTAGATAATGTGTTCAGCCTCTGAGACTGTGCTTTCATTTCTTTTGAGTAACCAACCTCTTCTAAGGCCCCTGCTGCAGGCCCATCTGCAATGGAGACCTCCTTCACTGCAGGAATAAAAAGCCATCCCAAAACTCTGAAAACTAGAAATGTATGGCCTGATCCCCTGTTCTCTAGTAACTACACTAGCTGTAAACTGGGGTGGCACAACATTCAGAGAGACGTAAGCCTATAGACAAAAAAAAAAAAAAAAAAAAAAAAAAGAAAAAAAGCCAGAAAAAAAGTTGAAAATTGTTTCATAAAATCAGCCACTCAACAGAAGTCAGGAAACAGGGTTTCAGCATTGAGAGGGACCTGTGAGACTCACATCTAGGCATCTGTCCAATGTTGAGCACATCAAAGTAATAGAAAAAATGTCTTGGAAAACACAGTAACTTCGATAAAGGATATAAGAGGATTAATTAATACAGAATAGCAGGGGAAAAAAATCTCAGCTAGCACTCAGTAAAAAAAGAAACCTTTCAGAAAATAAGTGATTGAAATCTTCAAATTGTTCACAGGGTAACCTTAGATAAGCTCTAGAAACCAAACAGAAAAATCTGTAACATGGATGCATGGATGAAACAGATGAAAAAGGGAACAAAAGTGTTTTCAGACAGAGCTGAGGAGTTTCTAAAAGGCAGACTTTAAAGCAGTATAATAATTGTGCTAAAAAATCACAGAACGAAATATATAAAAAATACTATAGAGTCATACAAGCAGGCAAGTGTACTAGTACCAAATTTCTAGTTGCTCAGCCTATAAAAATTCTATCTCTTGAGATACTATCATGAGGCTTCAGGAGTTTTTTAAATCCCAGCTCCAGCTTTTGGCATCTATTGATAACATAAGAATTGAACTACCTTGGACAAAAGAGAAAGAAAGTTTTCCTGGTTATGAAGAAGAGGTAACCTAAGGGCAATGGAACATGAGTTGGAGAACCCCTTTTTCCAGATTTCCAATTTTGGGGACCAGAATCAGGGTTTCCAATACAGAAAATTGATATATATCTTAGCCTTCACCAATGACAAGAGATAGCTCAGTCCCAGTTCGCAGGCACAGTATATAGTTCTCAATTCCTTTTGAAGAAGTAATGTACAGAACTCAGTGACTTATGACACTTGCCTTTGTAAAATATAAACAGTATGCAAATACCTCCAGTTGCTTCACTCTAAAGACTAGGTTAATATGTTGATATGTTTTGGGAGAAGAAAACAAACCTAATAGGATTAAAGAAGAATTTATTGTTGAGAATCTGAAAATTATACTTTTCATGGCAGAAACATTGGAATCTTCCTTTTGGTACAAACTTCTGTCCCATTGTCAGATCTTTTCAAAGTAATTCCACTAAAAGTACAGTCATTAGTTGAGAATTCTGGTTAAAAGCAAATGAATTGAAGATCCACAGCTGTCTGTGCCTAGTGACACAGGTTTGTTTACAACACTGCTGAATCGTCTGGTTAGCTCTACATCCTTCTTTCTGGTGTGCAGCATGGAGTGGTTTTAGGGCAAAGAACTAGGTCCTTTTTGGATGAAGCTACACCAGATAATACATTCCAGGAGCACAATGATAACAATCTTGACACAAACTGGCAGTCAGTCTGTGGGAACAGACCAGAACAAGCCTGAAGTAACTTCCCTCTC